TCACCAACACCCACCTCTTTTCCGCGCCAAAAGGCTAAACTTATCATCTTACTTGAAACCACTATGACAACATCTTCGCTGGAGTGATCGGAAATGGCTGCCGCCCATGCCCAACCAGTCCTAATTAGTCAGTTTTCTGCCTTACTCGATCCCTGTTCAAGATGTGATCGAGTCAGGCTATGGGCTGAGACTGGAGATTCGGGCAACGATAATGGCTTGGAAGACGGGACAGAAGAGGCGAGATCTACCCTCGATGTGTGAGATCTCATGAAGCCCACCAACTGGCTGAGACTGCGTAGGCCCGGTTAGCCAGGGCATCTGAACGCTCGGTATGTTCAAATGATCTGGCCGATTGATCCATGCTGATACGAACACCAGTTATCCTTGTTTGGGCCGATCCTTCTGTGTATTGGCAGCTAGGAAGCACTGCCTATACGTGCAATTCACCAAGTTTCGGACAGCCCGCCACAGGCAGGCCTGGGCGTCCTTCAAAAGCGAGTCTGGAACGGCGTTTAACCAGCCGCTGGGCCAGATATCAGCTCGTTGTCCTCGCCTGAATGGGTGCTATGACCGCCAAAGGCAACGGGATTCTATGCTCTGGGTCGGATCTGTGTCTTTGATTGGATCCCACATTGAAAATTCCATGATGACGCGGCTGAACAAGTCGAATATTTGTGGATGGTCTCACTTTCCTCAATCGTTGCTTTGCTGCTTTATTGCTAAGCCTTGCATTGCCTGAAGGATTAACCGCTGAGCCTTGTTTCGTCCAAGTGGCTGTGGCGATGCTCCGTTGCAACGCCAAATGGCGCATCTCCAGGCTAGACTTGTCAGCTCTAGTTGTCAGATAGATCCTTGCAGATCAATGTAGCTAGTATGATGAGTGTTGGGTACGCCGAGTAATCCTCAGCCACGTACGGGGTGCGACAGTCTGGAGGAGAGGTACCATTCTTTAGCTCAAGCGGTTCTAGACTGGCCATCGGCTATTCTCGCTTGTCTTCGCGACACTGTCCCTTTCAGAGGGAAGTTTGATACAGCATTTCTGCCACCGCGTCGATGTCAACATCTGCGCCACATTGCTCTGCATTTTATTCAAGTCAGTATGTCTTCAAATTCCCACATTCGCTTCGGTAGGCAAATGATGAGGTTGTTATGGCATACACTGTAGTATACTCTGCGGTCTGGTGATAAAAGTAGAAAATAAGCAGGTACGTCGATGGTACCATCGGAACAGTCATCATCAGGCTGTTTCTTCCGACAGCTCTGGCTGTAGTTACTACTAGTAGAGTCTGCATCCCTCCGTTCCCTACTTCCAAATGTCAGCGAAACTCTGGCACCAGGAGAATCGGATAAGCTTAGTTAGTTCAAAAGGTCTTCAGTTTTATTTAGACGAGTGGCACTTAATAACCCAAATACAGACCCACAATCAGTTCTGGAGGCAAGTCACTTCACGAAGCATGTCGCTGTGACTTATCTGCCGATTCTTCGGAAGAATATCTTCCAAAGCTGGCTCTTGCTGTTGCATGGGTGCCTCAGACTCTGGCATTCCGGCATGTTGGTCCCTGTGACCATCTTATAGAACGATTGTCGCAGTATTCGCCATCAAGAGGCAATAGGAATTCCTCTCATGATAACAGACTTCTGTTGGATCTGTGACATCCTTTCGATGCCGGTACTATACCTGCCATCCTACTTAGTACCACACAACTTGTCCGTTGTGGGAATTAGCCTTATAAGTCTACTAGTGAAGCATGAATAAGTATATAAATACTGCCGTTCCTGGACATCATCTTTTAACATTCCGTAACCTGCATAATTATCAAGTCGTTGGTTATTGCATAGTATTGAAGTGACGAAGTACTTCATATTACATGAAACGGCTCTATGTACAACTATAGGAGCCGTGTTGCTCATCAATGGTGGGTGTTGAGAGGACTCATTCGAGAGCTGATAATGGGTAAGATTAAGGAAAGACACCGACTATGAGCGATGATGGGAGAAACAATCGGGCTAGATTGTCTCAAAGGCATGTCCAAGGGTCTGATCTGCTAATTTATCATGGTACACAAGTACGCGACAAGAAGCACCCAAGTTTTGTGAGATTGCCGATCTGATAGGGGCGTACTTTGTACTTAAGTAGATTCGACGTTCACTCTAGTCCCACATCGCCACCATCTACATGGTACTTTATAGCTCCATTCCCTGTCAATTAGTGTTCTGCAGCCCTTCTCGAAGCCGTCCCCAACGGCGTAGCTATGTGGTCATTGCGCAACGATCATACCACCATATCAGACAGGCGTTGAGAGATATCAGATGCTTCTTGGCCTCTTCTACAATTGCATCATACACGCAGCCAGTCGACATATGCAGCACATACGGACCATATGTAAACCTTCGTGCACTCACCAGCAGACACTTCGTTGTAATAATTCGAGACAAAATCGGTTCAGCGACACTGCTGGAAGATTTGCAAGAGGGCTGGCGAACAACTAAACGATGAAGTCATGGGCCGTTGGAACTGCGATAGCTCGCTTTCGGGCCCGTACGATCAATGGGACCGTGACATCAGACGTGCCACTTATCTTGCGACAATCGAATTCTGCACCCACTTTTCATTCGTAGTGTCGACTCGGGGCCTGCCATTGCGCAGGCAAAAGCGCGAGAAAAATAACCTTGGAAGCAGCCGATCGAAGGTGGAGAAGAGGTCGGATGGTACCGAGAGAAGAGTGGAGGAACGACCTGTGAGTAGTCGGTACAAAATGAGGAAGAAAGGACCATTCTTTTGTCGAGATAGTCAGTAGTAGTAACGAGAAAGATGCACTGACGTCAGATTGCCACCCTGGAATCAGATCCCCCACAATTGCAAAGAGGCTGTCACGACATTAGTCTGTAATCACTCGGCGATTATATAGGGTCGGCTGTTGCCTCTTTGCGCCGCATCCTCCACCTTCCTCCCAGCTGAATATATTCACTTGATAATGAATTCACTTTCCATCAAGTACTACTACTAGTATCTACCACACTCTCTCCAATAATCTACTCGAAACTGCATGGACCACCATTCCACGTGACCTATCTTTCCGCCGGCCTCAGGAAGCCACGTCATTCGGCGGTGAAGCGCAAGTCCCTCACTTTTTCTGCCCCTTAAAAAAAAAGAACAATCGGGAAGGCGCGCCGTCGCGCTGCTGCAATAAGGGGAAGCGGGCCTCCATCAAAAGCGATCGTCATCCTCGTCTTCTTCCCCTCATCCTCGTCCGATTACTTTCCTCTCACTCTCTCCGTTCGATATACTCTCTTTCGCCATCACCATCTTTGATTTCCCCCGTTCTTCATCCCTACGATCGGATAATCTCTCCTTGTACATCAACATGTCCGATCCCACCCTCTATCTCTACACCTCCCTGACTGCGGGGTCGTCCCACATCGTCACCGCAACGGCACGCCTGGAGACGATTCTCAAGGCCAACAAACTCCCCTTCCGCGCAATCGATGTGGCCACGGACGAAGTAGCCAGGAAGCTCTGGGGCCGTCGCTCCAAGGGCAAGAAACTTCCTGGCTTGGTGAAATTTGGCACTGTTGTCGGAGTACGTATTCCTCCCTCGTCCCAGCGCAGAGAGGCTAGGTGGCTACTAGCGACGGAAGCACAATACAATATACTGGGGACTACCAGCTAACATCTTTGAAACAACAGGACTTGGAGCAAGTTGAAGAATGGAATGAGTATGGTGAGCTGAGGATGCAGGTTAACAGTGTCGAAGACATCGACAGTATTCCCGCTACTAGCACTCCGATCGCACCCCCCTCGGCCGCATCTACCCCCACCCCCGAACCCACTACCCTCAAACAGAGCACAATCAAGATTCAGAGCCCCCCCTCCAAAGAGACCCCGAAAGACACTGCCATCACGGCTGCTATGCGCCAGGCTAGTGGGGAGGCCGCTGCCAAGGCTAAGGGTAGCGGCACTCAGCCTGTCCCGGCTAAGGAGCCTGCCCCAGCAAAGGAGCCTGCCCCGGCTGTTACAGAACAAAAAGAGACCCCGAAAGAGACCCCTGCGGCTGGCGAGCAGTCCCAGGCAGGCAAGGAAGATACTGTACGTGGGAACGAGGCTGCTCCCGATACTCAGGCTAGCAAGCCTAGGCGGCCGCCTCTCGTGCCCGAGGTAGCTGCAGAGTCGTCTGCTAATTTTCATGCTGATGCTGCTGAAGCTTTAGGAATGGTTCAGCACCACCGTGGCTCCATCATCTCCGCCACATCCAAAGAAGAACAAGAAAAAGTTGCACAGGACTTGCGGAAGTCTATTTCCGGGGGTCAACAGGATCTTCTCAAATCCTTGAGGGAGGATAATGCGGCGCGGACAGATCAGGAGGAGACGATCGAAGAAGAGTAGGATTGGTGGTGAAACCCAGGATGGGACCCCGGTCGACAGAAAGCGCGGGCTGCCAAAGTCAACGGCCGGGGTTTTGCGGTTGCATTCATTTTGAGACGACGAATACGACTCAAGCGTCCTAGTTTCGGTTATCGCGAGACTCTTACCGTTTATCTTCGTTCCCTGTAAAGATACCAGCTTTTACTGTTGCTTGCTTGCTGTTTATTTCTTTCTTTGTAACTTGCATTTAATGCTGTATATGTTCGATATGGGCTCATTTCCCATTACATACATAGTTGATGATCCCACTGTTTACCTACTCTATCCGATCCGTATACCTAACCCATATAACCTTCTAAATATGCCTGAACGCGCATCATCCGCCCGTAACCGATCAAATACTCTTTAACCCTTTTTCGCTCATCACATGTCGACAGGGAAAGCACCCGAACAAGGGACCATTAGAATTCTGTAAGGCGCCAGGAAGAAGCTAGAAAACGCAAAGAACAAATAAGAAATGCGAGCGAACGCAACGAAAATCGTGTCACATGAACCGGAAAACTTTTGTTTTATGGTTTCCTTCCCCCCCTCTTCTATATTTATTATTTATTGGGTTATGATTTGTTTCAGTTTACTCCTTGCGATACTTGTTGACAGTCTCGCGGAGCTTAGCGATGACGTCGGCGGGATCCTGAGCGCCAAAGACCGCCGAGCCCGCAACGATGACGTTGGCGCCAGCCTCAGCAGCCTGGTCAATCGTACCCAGTCCCAAGCCACCATCCACCTCGATGTTGAGGTTAGGGTATTTCTCGCGCAGAGCTTTGACCTTGGGCAGCTCGGAGGCCATGAACTTCTGACCACCGAATCCGGGGTGAACGGTCATAACCAGGACCATCTGATGGTTGCCAAGAGAGATAGCGTTAGCATGTTGTTACGTACTCCGTAGCTTGAACTTTAACCAACATCTCTCTCCACTATAGACTAGTATATGGATGTGGGGTATGCTCCGCAAAGATGTGCTGAGGGGGGGGGGGGGGAAGTTTATGGGGATGTAGTAGGATCGACTCACATCCGGACGTTCCTTCTCGTTCTCATTCGCCAGAATATCCCAGAGCACGTCGACGGGGGTATCGGGCTTGATGGCAATTCCGGCCTGCATGCCCTCGTCGTGGATATAGCGGATGAGGTCCTTGGGGCTGGTCTTGGTGGTTGTGGTGTTGTCGGCGGGACTGGTAGCAGCGGTGGAGGAAATGGCGGCTTCGTAGTGGAAGCAGTAGAGATCACAGCCGGCGTCTTTGAAGTCCTTGACCCATTTGTGGGGCTGTATGGGGAATGAGCATGAGCTTGGAGTTCATCGAGGTATATCGATAGGGAGCAGACACACCTCCTGGATCATCATGTGGCAGTCAAAGGTGCCCTTGCCGTGGGGCTCGGTAGGACGAGCAACGTGAGAGCGAATCTTGGTGACGACGGGGGCGCCAAAGGTCATGTTGGGGACGAAATGGCCGTCCATGATGTCGACGTGCAACCAGTCGGATCCTTGGGCGATCTTGGTCGAGCATTCGCTGCCCAGGGTGCCGAAGTCGGCACTCAGGATGGAGGGAGCAATGATAGCTGGCGGGGACATGGTGGATAAGAAAGTGGAAGGGGGGAAGATTTAGAGGTAGGTAGTAGGCTAATTCGTTTCTGGGAATGAAGATAAGAAGAAGAATTTAAGAAGAATTTATTTAAGATTCGGTATTATGCGGTACCACCGGAGATGGAGGAAGTGGAGGGGCACCGGATTTATAGTTACGGACAATTATTATTCTAATGACGGGTCACCGACGAACGAGGGGCGCGGTGAAAGGAAAGGAATGGGGGGTGTGGGAAGGGAGAGCCACACCCGGGAGTGGATATCAAGAATAGTATGGAGACTTCCATCACGGCCAAAAGGGCAACGAGCCATAAGTCAGCCGGATGTTGATATCACCGCCATTTTTTGCAGTTCTCAGTTTTGCCTGTCGACGTCAGTTCAATCCCTCCGGAGTACCCAAAAGGGAAATCTGCTGCCCGTCGATAAGGGCTAGGGTCCTGTATAGCACGTGGGGGGGAAACTTGGCTGCAGCCCGGTGGGGGCCTGGGTGCCTGAACACCCGGTCGAGACTCGCGCCCAATGCATGTATGTCACGGGTTACCCTCCCAACTGGGGACTGGCCATCCACTGACCAGTAGTGCACATCTCCTTGTCCAGTTCATCATCCTCCCTGTCGTGACCATCCTTTCCAGTGCCGACATGCTGGTCGGGTGACTCAACCATTTCTCCCCATTCAGTTTGCAGTTGGGATCTGTCCGCGGACCGGATTTCCCTTTTCTGTGCTTTCCTGCGGCAATCGACAGCTGGCCCATGCTCAATATGTGAGTTGGCTTATGCTAATTAAGCTGGCCGTGGCTGGTTTACCCGCGCTGCTTATCATCATATCTACAGTAGTAGCCCCTCTCATCAATCTCTATCGATGCTTGGTCGTGATGATTCGAAATCAACTCCTTAGTCTACTAAATGAGTTCACTACCACTGCCTAGAATCCACCCCATGGCACGCACCAGCAACGGCTATTGACCGCTTGGACTATCTCCGCTTGCCCATCGTTTTCTAAAGATAGAGCACCGGGCGCTTAGAGCCTGCCAATCACACGAACACCTCCCCCATCACACACAGCTTCAATCTCTGGCTGGAGGGCGGTTCTTTGCAGACACAAAGATCTTCCCCCCACGCTGATTGGCACGCTTGCCTCCCGAGTCCGTCCGTTGTCGCCCATCATGGCTGGTCGACTGCTCGGATTCGTCGTGGCCGAAGCGCCCATCATCCCACCACCAATGATAGCATCTTCAGCCTGTCCATTGGCAGGGATTACGGGTGCTTTGTGCGCAATGTTGCAGTAGTTCCTGCAGGTCTGGTGATGGTGGGAGGGTGTTCCCTCCAGATCTCCCTCCCTTCCCCTCTTTCCAGCGCTTTATTAGTAGAAGCAAGCGCTACCGGTCACCAAAGGTGATCTTCACCTTACCCCGTCTCGGTCGGATTCTTCACCACCTTTTTCTTTGTGTTTTGTGTTTCTGTCAAATTATTGTGCTCTCAGCTCTGGTAGCTGGGTAATCATTCGTTCTGCTAATTCTCTGATATCGTTGAACCGTTGATCGGTGTCAACTGCAATCGAGATCCCCTAGCTGCTTCGTTGGATATACGTTGAGTTGTTTAGGTCGACTTCTGCATCATAACCTGCATCCCATATCGTAATCGAAGGAAGGATAAAACTAGCATCGGGTACATTTGGGCATCATGACGGACGTATACCGTCCCGCAACGGGCAGATGCCCACCTCTGCGACAGGTGCGAGGTACGAGGCTTGATACGATAGTGGAGGACGCGCGAGAGGCGCATTATGCAGACTCTACAGAGCCTGTTGCGTCCAGTGCCAAGCAGACAACACCAAAGGCACCGCAACCTCCACAGCCACCACAGCTGAAGCTCAAGACCAGCGGGCTTTCATCAGTGTCTCGACTGCATCGATTCTTCTCGCCAATATCGGCAGGCTCCGTCTCCTCTTGTTCAGATACTGAATGGCAGCGTCAGATGCAGCCGTTTGAAGACCTGTACGATGCAACTGACGACGATTCGGACATCAGTGATGAGTGCACTTCCTTTGCTAGCACCCGGCCAACAAGCTTGGTGACGCCCACGACGCGAACTTCGGTTTTTTCTCCGGTCTCCCGCAGCCGGTACCCCAGTCTCACGATACCGTCTTCCACAATGTGGCCATCACTGCATGGTGCTGCAAAGAGCTCCCCGATCCCGCCAACTCCGCCGCCAAAGATTCCTGTCTCCCCAGCTGCCCTGTCAATGCTCGCTCATTCGGTGCCTGCCGTGCATGCCCCACCGTCCTTGGACGGCAGTGTCTCCTCTGACCAGGTGTCAAACATCAGTGCTCCAGCAACTCCAGACCTGCAGTCCCTTCCAGATAATGACTGGACTGCGCAAGACGTGCATGTTCGTCACGAACTAGAGGACTCACAGGATGAAGATCTTGAGGCGGAACCGGATACCCAAAGCATTCAGATCGCTATCGAGAGCGCCAACGAGGACTGGCGGCAGGTCCTAGGCAGGTTTCCACGGATCCCGGGCGGCCAGTCGACCGCGTCGTCAATTGACTTGGATGCGGAGCCAGTCAGGGGAGATACACCATCTGACCGGGGCGTATCTCTTCCTGCAGATGCCTTAGAGACACTGAGGCACATCTCACTCGATGGAACTCCAGATCCCTGGTCGGAAACTTCTGAGTCCAACGAAGAGATGTGGCAGATCCGTATGCCTCCAGACCGCCCGCGCAGTGCCGACGATGCCACTCCGGCGTCAGAACTCTCAGGGTATAGTTTCAGCAGGCTGAGCATACCCTCTCCCGGTGGCTTTTTTGCTTCACTTGGTCCACGAGCACGTCACACCTGGTCTATTCCTTGTGGAAATAAGCCGCCGACTTCTGCCACTGCCGAGGGATTTTACAAGCTACCGTTCTCCCGGACCGAAGGAGAGGTAGTTGAGCATGTCATAGAATACCCCGAACGGACAACAGAAGAACAGCTGACAGCCGTGTATGATCCCATCGGACCACCCACCGCTATCAGAATCACCGAGGAGAAGACGCCCAATTTATTCGATCACTTCAATGATCAAGCATGCTCTGAGGATGATGATATGGACGATGCTCTTCCACCCATCGGCCCGGACGATCAGTACGAACGGGACGAGGACTATGAGAGCGAACTTAAGCAAAAGGCAATGTCAGGCTTGGACCGGACCAGCGATTGGCTGGCAGCCCAGGCTTCTTACCTTTCAGCTCTTAATGAGACCAATCCCGTGAACATGTTGGATGAAGAGGCTTACAACGAGGAAGTTGGGCCCAAGACTGATCGGCAATCACCCAATCAGTTAAGCCGGAAGCTGTCGGTTCGATTTGCCAAAGCTCTTCCAGAAGCACCCAGCTCCCGCCCCTCTTTACTAGCGAGTAGAGACTCCATCTACTGGCGCGGATTCAAGGCGGTCCAGCAACAGTCCGGCAGCCGAGATACCTTTGTGCATCGGAACACGAGATTTGATGCGGTTCAATCTGTCCGGCTGGGCTTAACAGATGCGCACATCAAGCGTTTGCGTGGAAATTACGAAATCGCTCGTCCGGAACGTCCAGCTTACAAAGGGCCCTTCTCATTGGCGCCTCGCAACTCAACAATGGACTCGGCTCTGGCAGAAAAGGCCCAGTTCTCTATAGTTGAGAAGGAGCAGACTGTGCTGGCTCAAATTCGTCAACCGATGTGGGCCATGGATGCTCTGAGATATATCAACGGAGGTCGCCTTATTGTGAGTCCTGCTCTGAAGCAGCTGTCCAGCACGCGTAAACGAACTCCCCGTCAACTACGGATCCTCGACCTCGGCGGACACGCCTCATGCGAATGGGCTTGGCAACTAGCTCACGAGTACCCTCATGTTAAAGTATATACCGTCTTTACTGAGCATCAGGAGGTCAACCCAGGCATCAAAGGACCTCCCAACCACCGGCACCTTCCTGTATCCCAACTGTGGAAACTGCCCTTCGCCGACAATAAGTTCGATGTGATCTCAGCCCGCTCTCTTCCTGCTTTGTTGAAGAAAGAATGCCCGTCTGGGGAGACTCAAGACCAGTATGACCTTTGCCTGAAAGAATGTCGACGCTGCCTCAAGCCAGGTGGTTACTTGGAGTTCTTTGTCATGGATGCAGAAATCACACGTGCTGGCCCGCAGGCATCTGCCAGGTCAGCTGAATTTGCGTCCGGTCTCAGGGCTCTGGGTTACGACCCGACACCAACCAAAGGCTTTCTTAGTCGCTTGCAGAAGAACTTCGCGGATGTAAAACGAGCCTGGATGTTCCTACCTATGGGTACTGAGCCGGTCAAGTCTGAACCGCCCAGAGAGACCCCCGATCCGAGGGTGAAGAGTCTCATTGAAGAATGTGAAGCGGTGCAAGGCCCAGTCGGGAGCACGGCAGATATCGCGAGTGTTACGGGTGTGCTAGGTGGCTGGATCTGGGAACAATGGCTTGTAAAACTGCAAACGGAACTGGGAATGGACCAACAAGACCTGCTGGCAGGCATTGGGAGTGTGTTTGATGAGGGACGCAAGAACGGTGCAGGCTGGACCTGCTTGTCGGGGTGGGCAATGAAACCGAGGCCGAAGAAGAAGAAGCGTCACGGACGGAAATCTAGCAAAGGCTGAGCCGCGCTTCTCCGTCCATTTTCTTTCCATTCAACGCCGAGGTTTCATTTGGGCCGCCCAAGGTACACTATGAACCCCAAGCTGCCCTGGTGGCGCACCTAATGTAATAGCGGGAGTTGTGTCTTTCTTATCGCTCTTTTCGAATACCCCTTTGTTTATGCGGAACGAGAGATGATGAATGCAGATTGATGGCTGGTGGACACTAGGGTGGATAGCTGTTGACAATGACACTCACTTGATACCCAAGCAGAATTGATATAATATATCTTGTAGCTAGTATACTACTTGATTGATAGTACCAGTATATACAGCTCGTAATCTGCTGTCTACATACCCCAATTAACCCTACCTATTTTACAAAGGGTAGACACCATAACATGCTCCACTCCAACAAACGTACCCAGAAAAATTCAGTGGTGATTCCACGATTAAATGTCATACCCAGCCTATAGCTGACATGTCCATCACGTGACCCCGTTACAATGCTCAACACCAAACCGCAGCATCATACCCGCAGCTCCAGATAATCGCATATTCCTCGTCTTCACGTCTCCCACCGCCAGCCCCTCTAGGAAAGGATACATTCGACACCTCCTTACCAAATCTTCAGCGGCCAATGCGCTACTAGTTCATTCCCCAACAAAACCACAGCTCCGACCGCATCAAAACCCCTCCAATTCTCCCCCACTTCGCACCGCAACCATGCTCTTCTTCAGGTAAGAAAGCCCCCGAGATCCTCAAAACGAGCACCAAGGCAACCACGGCTAATACTTCCCATCATGGGCATAACTACTTCGCAGCTTCTTCAAGACCCTTACCAACCAAACGGTGACCATCGAACTCAAGAACGACATTCGCATCCGCGGCACTCTCAAATCCGTCGACCAGTACCTGAACATTAAGCTGGATGATGTCGACGTTCTGGATCTGGATAAATACCCGCATTTGTCGTCTGTGAAGAACATGTTCATCCGTGGTAGTGTGGTGCGGTATGTTATGCTGCCGAGGTCGGAGGTCGATATTGGGCTTTTGGAGGATGCGACGAGGAGAGGTATGCTTTCATCCCTGGTTTCTCTATCGGATTGAAGGAACATAGATGTGTCTGTTTGATTTGAGCGTGTTTTGGGTTATGGATTGCTAATATTGGTGTGGTATGAACAGAAGCTGCGAACCAGGCTGGCAAAGCTCGGTGATTTCGCTTTGATAGATGGATTGTTGCTTTGTTCGTTGGGTTTCTTCTACGGATGGGATTAAAGTTTTCTTTTATGTATTTTTTCTTTCTATTTCTTCTTTGATTTGCAGATTTAATCTTCACGATGTGATGATATTTGTCGTTGTCATGCGGGTTTCACTTTTCATTATGTTGCTGATATCCATGGTTAAACATGGCGGAGAGAGAGAGAAAGATAGAGAGGAGGAGGGTCTGCGTGGATGCAAAGCATGGGGCCAGAGCAGATTGGCTGGACGGAGTACTACTCCTTCGATTGGGGCTGATTTACGGTGCTCGCAATTGCAGATGCTGAATGATGGTGATGATGATAGGCACACCTGCATACTACATCTACTGACTACTAGAAAGTACATGTCAGTGGGAGGACGAATAGGTTTACTGGGTAAAGCTCTGCTGGACACATGATAAAATGAAAAAGAACGGTGTATGCGGATACCTAGTAGCTAGGATAAAAATGAATGAAAAACAAGTAACAAAGCCCATCCACCTACCACCATAAGTCAGTACTCCGATACCTTTAACTTGATATAGTAACAACCGCAAATGGAAACCAATGGGTGGAACGGTCACCTGACTTCGTGTCGCGAAAATCGAGTCGAGTCTCCGCCGGCCGCGCCCGCGCCTTATCTCTTTTCGCCGCTTTGGCTAATTCGACCAGTTAGACTGCCTCAGATTCTACTATTCTCCGCGCTCCTCGATTGTACGAGACAACCATCTGTACAGATACATCATACTTACACTGTATTATTTTCACGACTCGATTTTGTATGAATATGCTTTGATGCTGCCAATCCGTTATACGTACCCATACCCTTACGCATAAATTATCCGCCCGCCCGCCACTTTGACCACGCGATAAAACACAAGACTTGAACCATGCCTACGCCATTCCCACCTCGAAAACCATCTACGCCGTCCCGGTCAACACCGGCGAAGTCGAAATCCACGAAACGCAACACCAGCCTTCTCAGTTTCTTCCAAAAGGCGGACGGGCCGCCGAAAGCTACGTCTCGGCAGTCGCGGATCACGCAGTTCGCGACAAAGGCGGAGAAGAACAATACGACTGGCGATGAAGGGTCTTCGGGAGTGAGGGGTGGCAATGGGGCTGCTGGTGCCGGGGGATTGTTTTTGGAGGATGCGAAGAAGGTTGTTAATTCAACGAGTGGAGGAGACTATGTGAGGGAGAAGACGCCCGAGGATATTTGGGAGGAAGAGGAGAAGGATGAACGGTTCCAGGAGAATGGGGGCAGTGTGAAAAAGAGGAGGGTTGGGGAGGCTATCTCGCTGGAAGATGATGTTGACAATGGGAGTGGGGAGAATAAGAAGAAGACGGAGAGTGAGAGTGGCGCTGAATCGAAGTCAATTCAGAAGCCATCTCGGTCAGTCAGTGGACCTTTCATTGATGAATCGGACAGTGAGAGCGAGGATCTTGAGCAGTTCAGGGAATACGAGAATGGGACTGAGAATGAGATCGGGGTATCGGATGGGAAGATTAACCCGGCGGACGAAACCCAGGCTCCCGCAGTCGATGTCGACACACCACCGGTAAGAGAAGCCACGAGCCACGACGATGATGATTACGCGAATTTTGACGATCTTGAAGAGGACGAGTTCCGAGGGGAAGAAGACTTCTTAGGTGCATTTGACGATGATGAGGATTTTGATAAAGACGACATTGGACTTGACGATAGCGGGGTTTCGGGTGAAGACTTTGGCTGTGAAGCGCCTGTGTGTCCTGTATGTCAGGCTGTTTTGACAGGCTTGTCCGAGACGGTAAGTTGTGCCGATTGTGTCTTCGGTGCTGGTGGTAATGGTTGTTCTAGGATGTCTCGGTCCATGTCAACGATTGTCTTGATGGGAAGCCTACGGAGTTGCTGAAACATGAGCCAGAGGCGGAACCAGACACCGACCCGGGACCGGGACCGGAGTTGAAGTCGTCGAAAGGAATGAGTCTTGCCGACCGGGCTGCTATCGCGAGACCAGCGCAGCGTGACCCATATGCCTCCGGCGTCGCAGGAACGCGGTCGGCGTTTTCGAAGCTCATGGCCGGCAACGCGGAAGATACAGCATGGAATGCAGCGGCGGCCAACGAGGTTGCATCCCGTGGCAAACAGGCTTATCAACGGACGTGTCCTTTCTACAAGATTATCCCTGGCTTCTCCCTCTGTGTGGATGCATTTCGATACGGAGCCGTAGAGGGGTGCAACGCGTATTTCCTCAGTCACTTCCACAGCGATCACTACATCGGCCTCACGGGGTCCTGGCGCCATGGACCAATCTACTGCAGCAGGCCTACGGCCAACTTGGTGTGCCAGCAATTGAAAGTCGACCGGAAGTGGCTTGTACCACTCGAGTTCGAACAGAAAATGGAAATCCCGGGGACGGGAGGAGCGCAAGTGACCTTGATCGAAGCGAATCATTGTCCCGGGAGCGCCATCTTTCTTTTCGAGAAATCAATGGGATCTGGCCCCTCGCAGAGGACACACCGTATCCTCCATTGTGGTGACTTTCGCGCCTCGCCGCTACATGTGCAACATGCGCTTCTCCGCCCGGAGATCACTGACCCTGCAACCGGCAAGGCTCGCCAGCAACGAATTGACGCCTGCTATCTCGACACTACCTATCTGAGCCCCAAGTACGCATTCCCAGGCCAAGAAGATGTTATTGCAGCTTGCGCGGACCTGTGCGTTGAGCTCGACCAAGACGCCAATGATACCAACGGACGGGCATTCGGACGGCCAGTCAATGGGAAAAGCGGAATGCTGAGCAAGTTTGTTACGGCTGTGACTGGATCCCGCCCGTCTCCAACGCAAGGTAGCAGTCCTCCGGGGCGGCTATTGGTGGTGATTGGGACGTACAGCATCGGCAAGGAACGCATTTGCCTGGGGATTGCGCGGGCATTGAAGAGCAAAATCTACGCAACGCCAGCTAAGCAGCGGGTCTGTGCGTGCCTCGAGGATGCTGAGCTGTCATCGCTGCTGACAGACGATCCCACGGAGGCGCAGGTGCATATGCAAACGCTATTTGAGATCCGGGCGGAGACGCTGGCGGACTACCTGGACTCGATGAAGCCGCACTTCACGCGGGTGGTGGGCTTTCGACCCACCGGATGGACGTATCGACCGCCAGCTGGAAGAATGCTGGACAACCCACCGGTGTCGGTGGTGCTCAACTCGGCGCATTGGAAGACGCCCTTCTCTGCGAAAGACCTGGTGCCACAGCGGGGGAGTACGCGGGAAAGTGCCTGCTTTGGAGTGCCGTACAGCGAGCACAGCTCATTTCGGGAGTTGAGCATGTTCTGCTGTGCGCTCCGGATCGGACGGGTGATACCCACGGTGAACGTGGGTAGCCGGAAAAGTCGGGAGCGCATGAAGGCGTGGATTGAGCGATGGGAGGCGGAGAAGCGGAAGAATGGATTGTACCGCGTGGAAGGAAGTCGCTGGTAGGGAACAATAATTGATCATAGGTAACGCTACCAAAGGATCAGGAAGGATTCCCAGAGGCGGGTCGGGGCATGTTGCCTAATGGGGCAAGTGAGGAGTAGTGCTGTAAGTAGTTACAAGTCACGAACTATGTACATAAATACCTTAGTCATGAACATAAGGGTGTCGTCCTTCGCCTCCCCGGAGTCACGAGATCAATAATTAGATACCAACCATGGCCGTTTGACCATTGGCATCGCTCTCACTGGCTGTATCCCCAATAATCGCCATGGATCCATCCAAAGTATGATCCCTTTGGGTGAGGATCTCCCACCAACCCCACGGGAATCCTCCAGAGTATCCAAAGCATATATGAACAACCGAGCACAAGCGGGGGAGTGCAAGGGGACCGGCGCTGCAAATCGGCTGGCAGATCAGTCGCGGCTCAGCAGAGACTCCCGACTTTCCCTTCCGTTGCCTGTCTTTGCCTCGGGGATCCAAGACTGCCCGTCTGCCATAAATATGCGCGGTGCTTCAACTCAAAAATAAGGAGGTGGACAATTCAAACCAACTTCTTCTCGAACAAGAATATACTCATCTTCACCCATGGCGATATTTGAGTGAAGTGGTTTAGTGATTGATACCTTCTCTTGATATTCATTACCCTATAGTTGCTTATTTCCCCTTCGGAGGTAAATTGGTCTCCTTGGCACCCACATTCCCGGCTGCATTTTGCGGCTGAGGAATTGCTTCTCCCTCACTGCATTTGCCGATGCTAACTTCCGAGCTCAACCAGCTAGACTAGATACCTTCCCACCCCACAAAAACAATCATGCTCGCCCTGCTCCTGTCACCCTACGGGGCCTGTCTGGGCCTAGCCCTGCTAGTCCTCTACTATCTTCTTCCTTACCTACAACGCTCTCACCTTCGCGATATCCCCGCCCCTGGTCTGGCCGCCTTCACCAATTTCTGGGTGCTCCTGCAAACTCGTCGCGGTCACCGTTTTATCGCTGTCGATAACGCTCACAAGAAATATGGAAAGCTCGTTCGCCTCGCCCCCCGTCATACCTCCATCGCCGATGATGGGGCCATCCAGGCTGTCTATGGCCACGGAAATGGTTTCCTGAAGTCGTACGTGCCCCCCTCCTCTCTTTTACTATCGTTCCTGGCTATCCCTCGCATATGGAAACGTTTCCCCGGAAGCTAATCAACTCTTCTTCCAGTGACTTCTACGACGCCTTCGTCTCCATTCACCGTGGTCTCTTCAACACGCGCGACCGCGCGGAGCATACCCGCAAGCGCAAGACCGTCTCCCACACCTTCAGTATGAAGTCCATCGGCCAGTTCGAGCAGTACATCCACGGCAACATCGAGCTCTTCGTCAAGCAATGGAACCGCATGGCCGATACCCAGCGCAACCCCAAGACCGGTTTTGCCAGCCTGGACGCCCTGAACTGGTTCAACTACCTGGCTTTCGACATCATCGGTGACCTGGCCTTCGGCGCTCCCTTCGGCATGCTCGACAAGGGCAAGGATTTCGCCGAGATGCGCAAGACTCCCGACTCGCCCCCCTCCTACGTCCAAGCCGTCGAGGTCCTCAACCGCCGCGGTGAAGTCTCCGCCACCCTGGGTTGCTACCCGGCCCTGAAGCCCTTTGCCAAGTACATCCCCGACAGTTTCTTCCGTGATGGTATCCAGGCCGTCGAGGACCTGGCTGGTATTGCCGTCGCCCGCGTCAACGAGCGTCTTCGCCCCGAAGTCATGGCCAACAACACCCGTGTCGACCTGCTCGCCCGCCTCATGGAAGGCAAGGATGGCAACGGCGAGAAGCTCGGTCGCGCCGAACTTACCGCCGAAGCTTTGACCCAGCTCATCGCCGGATCCGATACCACCTCCAACACCTCCTGCGCCATCCTCTACTGGTGCATGCGCACGCCCGGTGTGATCGAGAAGCTCCACAAGGTCCTGGACGAAGCCATCCCTCAAGACGTCGACGTCCCCACCCACTCCATGGTCAAGGACATCCCCTACCTCCAATGGGTCATCTGGGAAACCATGCGCATTCACAGCACCTCCGCTATGGGTCTCCCCCGTGAAATTCCCGCCGGTAACCCCCCCGTCACCATCTCCGGCCACACCTTCTACCCCGGCGACATTGTCTCCGTGCCCAGCTACACCATCCACCGCTCCACGGAGATCTGGGGCCCCGATGCCGAGCAATTCGTCCCGGAGCGGTGGGACCCCGCCCGCCTCACCCCTCGTCAGAAGGCCGCTTTCATTCCCTTCAGCACCGGCCCCAGAGCCTGTGTCGGTCGCAACGTGGCGGAGATGGAACTCCTGGTCATCTGCGGTACGGTGTTCCGTCTCTTTGACTTCGAGATGCAGCAGGATGGTCCTATGGAAACGAGAGAGGGTTTCTTGAGGAAGCCCCTCGGACTGCAGGTCGGTATGAAGCGGAGACAGCCTGGTTCGGCTTAGAACGAATGGTTGTGTTGTATCCACCAATGGAGGTATTCGAAGACAAGAAAGGAAGAAGCCGTCCGTCCCCCGTGCATAGAATATTTCCCGGAGAAAGGGGGGCGCGCGCGACGATGGAAGAGATTCGATTCTGATGTATATGTATAAGCGAGTTGCGAGAATGGATCAGTATATATATTTATAGCTAGCATTCATACATGCAGTGAATGACATGATGAGATGATCAAATTCATTATCGATGTTTTTTCTTGACACGGGTCTATTCATACAGTGTTTTCTTCTTCCTCTCCACGTTCATACTGAAAACAAACTGATCATTATTAACTAACTTACACTCCTTTGAATTCCATATGATCCATCACACGTCTTAAGAAATAATCCTTAAATGAAGACATCATCCATCAAACCCCATAAACAAAGCAAACTGATATGTCACAAGTATTCACATTATGGATTACACTAATAGCTTAGCAGAGATAGGGGTGTCGTGATCATAGCTGCGTAGCATATACACACAAAAAGAAGAAGAAAAGAAGTCCATCCACCTTTCATCATCATCAATACACACATCCCAACATACACCTCATCCAATCCTGCAACTCACTACCAAGTCTTCGGTCCAAATGTCTGGCCCGATGGCACGATCTTCTGCACCGCAGTACCCGCCATATCCATAGTAGTACTGGTAATACTAGTACCCCACCAAGTCGGGAAACTAGTACTGGTCAAATCGAGGGTCAAGAAAATCAGGATGGTACACAAATCCAATCCGACATCCAGACCCGCCGACAGGACATAGTTGTAGTGCATCCACCAGCCGCGCCAGCGGTCCCGGATGTACTTGTTGAAGATGAGACCCACCAGGCCCCAGGTGAGATAGTTGAGGGGGGTGGCGGGGGGAATGAGACCCGCACCGCCGAAGATGAGCGGAGCGTTGAGGAAGCGGATCTGGCTCTTGGGGTACATGCGTGCGCCGATGTAGATGAGGACAGGGAGGATGGCGCCGGCGAGCCAGAACCACATGAGGCCGGAGTAGAGCTGACCGGGGGAGAAGATGCGCTGGGGTCCGATCAGACCCCAGATCACGGAGGCTTGGTAGAAGACACGACCGTTGGGGCAGGAGTAGTTGTCGGCTTGGGTTTCGCTGCAGACGTCTTTGATGGTGGCGAGACCCCAGTTCATCACGGCGATTTGGACGACCGAGGACCACAGGGCAGCGATCATTTGGGCGGAGAAGGTGACTCGTGGGGGGAGTTTCATGTAGTGCGCTGGGTAAGGGTTAGTGGGAAGGTTGGCTTCTGGGAGTGGATGGATGGGTGCTTACCTAGTTTCATGTCCTGGTTGAAGTAGAGTCCTTGGTACATGCTCATGTAGCCGTAGGTCTTGAACAACATCATGGCCATGGGCTTTCCGGGCTGGATGTAGCCGACAATGAACTCCGTCAAGACGTTCAGACCGATGGCGATGTTGGTGGCGGCTTGCACGATACCAATTGGCACGTACCACACCACTGCCATGATCAGAGAAACGAAGAACGCCCACCAACTCAGGTGAGTGGGGTATCCCAGGACCATGCCCAAGCCAATTCCAATCATGATCAGGGTGACTGCGGCATACCACCAGAGGGGCACCGGCTTGTACTTGGACATCAGGCGGGCGTGAACATCCTCCTCTTCCTTGCCAAAGTTGCGGAAACGCACCCACAGTTCTTTACCATGGAACAGACCGGTGTGAATGAGAATAGCAATGATGGTCGCAAATGACAGTCCGTAGCAAAGACTGAAGGTTGTGGACAGGAATAGTGGCGAGTATTCCTTGTACGCCTGAATATTGAGAGTGAAGTCACTGTTCATGATCCTGGACACATTGTACTGCGCACCAGTGTTGTCGTAACTGTTCGAATCGCTGATGGGCAAGTACTCGAACCACCACATGCCGCTGTAATGCATGCCAATGGTGACGATCCAGAAGAAAATGAACATACCAATAAGGGTGTTGGCAATGGCGTGCCACGGGGCGATTAGGGGACTGAAGTTGAAGCCGGAGATTTGCGTCCAGTCAAAGGTCATAGGGATCAGAGACAGGCCGGTATCGCCGCCAAAGAGCTGGTTGATCACGGCATTTTGGGGTTTGATCCAGGTCACCCAGGCGAAGACACTGAGGAACGGGGCGATGACGCCGGGAATCCAGTACCAGCAGAAGGACCCGATCATAACGTAGAGGAAGAAACGGTACTTGCCAATCCTCCATCCGGCTACCTTGGTGGGATCGGGCCTGCTGTGGTCATGAAGCGCCGAGAACAAGGTGCAGTTGATCAGATTGGAAGGCCAGATCATGGCCGCCGGAGTGACCAGGAAGCGGTGGAAGAACCCAGCCATACCAAACCCGAGCATCTGAGTCGAAATACACATGAAGATTTCAAATGCCCATCCGAAACGCTGCTTGTAGAAGGCACGCTGGGCCAATAAGACGTCAGTCGCATAAGCAGCACCACCACCAAAGGTAGCATTGGCCATGACGACAATGAGACAATGCTCCTTCTTGCTGAAGGGGCCGGGGTTTGTGTTGCACTCGATTCCAAAGACGCGGAACTTCTTGCTGGGAACGAATTTCGCCCATGCGACACCAACAGGGTAGGCGACAACCTGGGCAACGTAGGAAGGAATAACAATGTAGGGGTCACGCATGGAGAACAGCATGTTAAGCGCCGAACCGATAGTCGCAAAGATCAAACCAATGGTCCAGGCACGAATGGTGTTGGTGTGCCCTCCTTCATCGTAGTTGGGCACGGCCGCACGCACCTCAGGGTACGGCGAGTTATCGAGGAGCTCCTGCGTGATGCCCACGCGGGCACCCTTGTCATCTGTATGAAGGGCCTCATCGATCTCATCGGCAATATCGTCGGGAAGGTTCGGATCCCAATGGTGCTGTTCCTTTAGGTTCTTGAGATGGACGGTGGCTGCCTCCGGGGAGGATTCATCAGCCACCGCCGTGCTGAAAGCCTGCTCCTTCTCACTCATCGCGGCAGTCGACGAGGAAAAGCACGAAGAAAGGCTTGGGGAAAATTCAATGAAGATGATAGAGCATGCGCGGAGCTCTTCCACTGGTTCAGAGGAGAAAACAACGGAATCTGGAAACGGGGGCGGATGAAAGCATCATATAACCACTCAATTTACCCTTTCCTGGATCGCAACGACAAGAGGCGCAAATAGAGCCGACGGTAACCCGACGCCTTATCGGACTAGGAAATAAATTAAACGAGCTGGTGGCGTCCACTGATTGCGGGAGAGTTTATCTCTCCAGTTATCAGCTACCCCAGTCTGTTCGCCATGTTCCGATGTAACCTGAATGTGTCTTAGCTTTGGTAGTAGTTGGATTGGACTTGAGACCAGTCGTGCGTTAGCTAGTAGATCCAGCCAGTGGCGGACTTGAGAGCGCATTCGCCATTGTCAGCCCATGCACGACATGCACGGCCCTCGAGGAATGCTTCCATCCCTACCCTCCTTGCAATTTGGCTGCCTAGGCAATTACAGATGAGGGAGTCTCATAGTTTGTTCGCGCAGAGCGATAAGTTGCACCGAAGCGCATAAGGCGGGCCCCTCCGGTGAAGGAGCTAGCCCCAGAACCTAATAATTGGGGCAAAAGGAAGTCCTGTCCACCGTCCGGTCCGGTGAGCCAGCTGAATCACTACTAGTACAGCGGAAGAGCTCGATCGCAGTCGACCCAGGTGGGGATTTGATCATTCGAGCGTTCTCATTGACGGGAATTGACACGCGACCAAAGGCACACGTGCACTTGATTCGGCGATTTAAACCAGGAAAGAACAAGCTACCACTAGGGTGACTGCAATACGTCTGAAGGGGGGGGGAAAGGGTGCCCTTGACCGGAGGTATGTCTCGGATGTGAGCGAAAGGATCGGGGGTTGGGTTGGTGGCAAGATGGGAAAAGAGACCACGCAAGTGGTTGTGCTGAACGAAGAGGGATTCCAATGCAAACCAGTTCCTAAGAGATAAAGAAAAGATTACCAACGAATATCGGCGGAAAAAGCAACGCTGATACGGCGGCAGCAGAAGGGCAAGACACTATGGACACTTTCCCCGGGTCTGGTCCGGCGGACTAGCCCCTTTTGCACCAGGCTTGTTTGCGATAAGCTAGCGAAGCGCCGGCGGGCTTCACACGGCGAATTGGCTGGCGCAAATGTATTCGAGCTATCGTCCACACGGCTTCAGCGAAAGCCAATCGGGGATTGTCTGGACTTGGCAGTGGTCTAGCCGAGGTTTTTCCTTAGATGTTCTTCTCTCATCGCGTGGCATTCTTCGTGTTTTCGCTCTTTCCCGTGCAGAATTCTTGTCGATCGACTCGGTCGCGCCGTGGACTGGGGCAAAGGTCATCCCAGTGTCATCGAAGCCACTCAGCACGAAGATCGCATTTCCACAGTGACATGACGAGGACCACAGTTTACTCCTGTTCTTCCGTTATCATGCACTAGTCCTTGACAAACCAGCCTCAACCATTGGACAATGCGCGGACTGTTTTTGGGGCGGGCGGGGACGGGGGGTTGAAATGGGACTGATAAGCAGCTGAGCACTTCTAGACATTGAATGGACACACTCAATCCCCAGATTGGACCATGCCAGACTAGTTGCAGACCAAGTGTATCATATGGACGTAAATTAAATTAGCACCTGCCTTCTTCCGCTTAGTTGGATAGTGTGGAAGAGCCCTATCCACCCCCGTCGTCTGCCACTAACGGCACGGCGGGATGCACCGTCCCCAGTTAGCCTTCCGGGCTGCATGGAATCATGGAACATGGCATTTCGCCATCAAGAGGGGGTAGAACCTCATTCTCGAACACCCCCCCTGACTACTGACTATTAAAGGATTGTCCCCCTTGCTGATGCCATGTAACCCCGATTTAGTGCGTGTATGTGTGTGTGGCAGGGGTAGTTGGTCAGGAAGCAACATGAGTCAAGTGAGAAGAGAGGGAAAGAGGAAGGAGGCGAAATGGAAGAAAGAGAGAGACAACCAACCGGTTTAGCCTGGAGTCACTTGACCGCTGGTCATCCTTCCCATTTAGCGCCAACGGCCTGCCTGACTGCCCGATCTCCTTTGTTTCACAACTTCTCTACGGTAATTGCCTATTCCCTTTGCCTCTCCTGCCCCTCATCCACCCCCTCCCTTTCGAGGTGCCTGTGCACTCTCCATAGTTCGAACGCCTTTTTATACTTTCTCTTTAAGCGAGCCTTCTTCTGCCGAGAAAAAAAAGATAGGCGCAGCCACTGGAAAGCCACCAGAGGGCTGAATGGAGTGCTGACTCCTTGGCATGTAGCACGAAGATTGGCATATCAGCCGATTACGCGAGGGCAAAAGTAATTTCGAAGGCAACAATATTGGATGTAAAAGCAGAGCCAGCTAATTCGAGGAGCATGGGCTCGCCACGAACCATTGAGATGAGTTGGTAGCGACCGTTGCGCTACATCTCCAATCTAGCCCATTTGCTGGATAGACTAGAGGACTCGATCTGTGGTGGGTACCGTGTCTAACGGATACGAGGTAGATAATGAAATATCATACAAGATAGGGACCCATATCGTGCTTATAGTTTAGCCGGACGAAACACCTATAGCAGCCATGATTACAGGGACATGCACACCCATATACGACGACCAGGCACTCAGACGTCCGGTAGGTCCACCACATATGCCAGGTTTGCTTTAGCTCACTGGACTACCCGGGACTCCGTTGGGTCAACCGGCTGGCTTGAACCTTATGCTTCTCCATCCCATGATCTGGCGTTTCCTGTAGCCCCCAAACCCCCCTTCTTTTATCTCAAGGCTATTGGTGGGTTATGTTGGCTATAGGAATCACGCGATAGACTGCCCGTCACTTCGCCCCTGTAAACTGATCGAATGATGATCTTGCATCGAGGGTTGAATTCTTGCGAAGCGGTGTTCGGATTTTGCTATCCTGGGCGTTCATCCTGATATTTTTCCTCTGCCGCAGCTCGCAAGCATGTCAGTGACTTACAGCGGTCCGTACGGTTCGGTGGGAGCGAAGAGAAACTCATCCGTCAACGCCCATTCAAAATCCGCCTGGAATTGCTCGTCAAAATACGAGAAATCTGGCCGGTCCGTAGAGCCTCCAGGCGCGGTCCCTGAAGTCCCTGGATTATCGCGGCTTGCATCGGTGCCTATCGTGCATGAGAGATGCGTCAGTAACCGCCCGTATCTGTTATCAGAATGCATAGCCGTACCTTCAGGGGCAATTGTTTGGGAACTGGCCGTGCTATAGAACTGGGGGTCGAATTCTTCTCGCCACCACCACACCGTATCGATAACAGGACTGACAACCAACCGGCTCCGAATCCGAAGAGCGAGGTATTCACTCCCATCTGCCTTCCGGAACGCTTTGGTGCTATTCCATAATTGGCTTAATACCATGACCGTCTTGGCCGCGATATCAAAGTTGTGAACCGACATTTGCTTGGCCAAGTTGATTGCAGTGAAATAAGATGACTTAGCCTTGTCAACATCCATGGTAGCCCAATGTGGGCCTTTCAGTACCCGTAGAAGGGCCGAGGACGCTAGAAGCAGCGCATAATTCATCTGGATGGGAGAAGTAGCAAAGCCGGCCATGCTCTGTCCCAGATTGTGTATGCTGTTAATGGTATCACATGCAGCTGTCGTCAGAGCTGCAAGACAACCCGATGAGAATGAACTGGGATTGCGGAAAAGTTGAAATATTTGGACACTCAAACGACACATGCTCGTAGCAAACCTATCGTACGCTATATTGCTTTAGCTTCTGTGATTACTGACACGAATACAACAGGCTTACCTGAGAAAGCCTGTGCCTCCAGATCAAGCGCTTGGTCATCATACGCCCGTAAGAGTATATCGAGCGATCTCTCTTGCTCGGGAGATATGTCCCGGACCCCGAGCTCCTGTACTGCTGTACTACAGCGAGTTTTCAGATCCTCACATCTCAGTTCAAGTACCAACGACGGGGAAATCCTCTGAAACAATGAATGTTTCATTTCCCCGTCCGGTTCCAGATTCGCTAGAGAGCGAGGAGGCTGTCCTTTTACTACACACGCACTGTACCCTTTTTAGTATGAAGAAAATGGGTGTCCTGCACCAAACACGTACCGCTGATAGACGATAACGCAATGAGCCCAAAGCTCTGATCGTCTGATCATTTCTGCTTCTGATGGGGCAGGAAGTCTCTTTCTCTTAGAAAACTCATGGCTGGACATCGGGATGTGTAAACCATTCTGCATGGCAATGTGTAGAAGCATGCCGCTTAATGGAAACGTCAAGTCCGCCATATTAGCATCTTTCGGGAATGGCCACGTTAGAACGAGCAGCAGCCCCTGAATGCTGTGCCACGCTGAGCTTCCCGATACGATCGAGAGGAAGGCCATTTCGTTCACAGTGCGTGCAAGAGCGGTTAGCAAGGTTGGGTTTTTGGAATAGGTTCGGGATGCAATCCCGACTATAGACCAAAATAGAAATGGTGACTGCGTATAATACACGTTTGGTGTGGTTTCCGGGTCAAGGATTGGAAGGAAGGAGGCATATTGGTGGAAGAAGCTGTTCCACATCAGAAACGCGCAGAACGACACTCTCGGGCAGAGGTATACTCACATCTGGAAAAGCTCGTCTATCTCACTTCCGGTAAGGTAAACGTTGTTCAGCGAACGGGGCTCCGTTGCATCAGGGGCGCGTACACCTGAAACCATCTCCGGCCCTGGTAACGACGGTCCTAGTCCAGGGGAAGGTAATATGTGTTGCGAACCTTCAACCGGGGGTGTATGCGACTGAGTATGAAAGATCAAGTCGCCATCGGCAGTTGCTGCGTTAACTCCCATCTCAGCCGCGGCCGTTAGCATCGCGATGGGTGAGGGTCGAGAGGGGTCAGGTTGTGTATATCTCAGTCTTCGTCGCAGCTCGTCTGTCTCTTGTTCGAGCTCGGAGAGCCGCCTGTTGTGAACTGGTCACTCTTAATGCCCTTTTGTTCCTGACAAAGTCCAGATTCAACCTACTTGCGTTTATGTTCCCGACGAAATGGATCCGATATAACACATTGGATGTTCAGCTTTGAACAACGCGAGCACGCCTGAGTGGGATTCAAGTAGGCGTCACATTTTGCCTGCGTGATTCGGTTAGAGACAGTTATTCAGAGATACAGAAACCCAATTTGGTCATTATAAGAAAGACACTCATGCTTTAACACTCCATACCTTCTGCTGCCTACACTCAGTGCAGGCCTTTTTACCTCGTTTCACCGATGGTGAAGGTCTATTATCCAACCATGTTAGTAATGATTATATTGGAGGATTACGATAACTTACGTTCGCTCGCTAGATGCCATTGCAAATGAAGCGTCTTGCATTCGGGCTCGAGCTCTATGATCCGGCGGCTCATGCTGCTGTTGTTGCGATGATGGATGATGGAGACGCCGGCGGCCAAGATTTGGCTCCGGAGCAGCACGCGGAGATAGCGCCATTCTAATCTCCGACAGAGTGAGAAAAGTGAAGTAGTCGGAAGTCTTGGAATGTAACAACTTACCTGACGAAGTTAGTGTAAAGCCAAGATATAACGGAGATTTATGATTATTACTACTTACTAGTACTATATCAGCCCTTGACGCAGTAATCAAAAGTACTAGGGGCCTAACTGCTAACAAAAATGACGGTTAGTAATGCTGAGATCTCCGTCGCGTCATTGCCCGACAAAATATATATTAAGGCGTACCCACACGCGACGGAGAGATGCTTTAGTAATTTGAACTGAGAAAGATACGCCTATCCATAACCAGTCAAAAAACCATCTAAACTGATTCTTGCTGCCTAGAGACCCCCAAATGCTTCCATTGGGAAACTCTTGGCCATCAAGCCCTGTTGTGCCGGAACCGGCTTTATGAATCACGGGAACCCGGAAGAAGGCGCACTGCCATTGGCCCATATCCCGGTACCGGCTTGTGCTTATCGCTATCGCTGTCTCTTGGCCTGCTAAGAGTACTAGTAAGTAGTTCATTCTATTGCAACCCCAGGTTGGGATTCATTGGTACATATCGTATGCGAAGAGAAGATATAAGGGATAGATTTCAGTCCATCACCTGCAATAATCATTGGCGGAAGTCCAGCAACGATATATTCAAGAAGCGATGGAGATAAGTTATCATGATATATTGAATCAATGACCGACACACCAACTCCATACGTAGTATCCTTAATCTACCAATGAGGACATTCTCCCCCAACAAGGGAAGGATGCCCCAATTACTACCATAGTAGCTCCTAGATCTTTGCTCCAAGATTTAGCTAAAGTGCTCATGGAGTGACTTCAGTCCCAGTGGCTTGGATCGAATGCCAGCTTGAGATGAGGTCATCAGAAAGCCACATGCCTGAACCACCATCAACAGTAACACAATCTGCCTCCCTTTTCCTTCCATCCCCTATGGTTGCTGATGCGGTCAAGCGCATATGTAGCGTACCACCCCATTGGTACAGTACTGTAACCTCTCAAGTAACACGATTGTAGATCGGGTCGGGACGCATGGGTAGTGGGATTTCCACTGAAGACCTGCAAGTTGCCGGCCAGGTCTTCAGACTTAAGATTCTATATCAGACCATACTCTTGGCGAAGTATGATGTTACTGTGCCACAGACGCACCAGAAGGTTGCTGCTACACTGACTGATGTGACGTGACACTCGCGGAGGTGCTTGCGTGTCTTTTGGAAATGTTGCAATCCAAGCACTCGGGCGCTCGTGGGGCAGAGTATCTTCGTAGACGGATATCGTTCATGAAGGTGTTTCGTTATGAAACTACCTCATACTGTTGGCTTCGTGATGGAAGTTGCTTTGAGCTGTCGTTCCATCCATTAGTCTGTTCAAAGCGCCATTTGTCCAAGGCGCAATTACCGGACAATAAGACAACTGGGTGTGTAATCATAGTAAAGTTTGTTTATAGCGTTATGTGAAAGAAGGCGCAGTGACGACAAAAGACCATACAGACTATATGGTAGTAGCTAAAAGATTAGTAGTATTTGGGTGGAGCCAGATTCAAACATTGTATGGAATCGTATGGTGGGTGTCTTTCGGTTGTCAGTAGAGAGGTATCCTGAAAGCCAAACCACAACACTTGAGCCAATCTCTGTTTCTAGAGACTGATAACAGCTTTGTCATTCTCAGTGGCATCATTATACCCATGCATCTGCTTACTATCCATGAAGGATTCCTTTTTGAACCTGACGTGCTTCGGGGTGGCGAAAGGAGATGAGGCGGGCATAATGCTTGATTTATTAATACAGTGAGACATCACCGCTATCCCAACGGGTCGATCGGACATATAAACATTGGCATCCATCTGGGTCAAACAACATGTAAACATCTCATTGAGGATAACACAGTAGTCATCCGGCGATTAATCATGTCGTCTGAAATTCCAGATATTCCTGAACTGAAGCGTGCCGTGGAAAGCGGCCAGCGCATTGGCCCAGATGATGTCTCTGCTTTGGCGCCGAACGAGAGCAAATTGACCGGTGGTGGGCCGATCAGGGGTGGAGCAGCAGGTGTGTTCATAGGTCTAGACGTTGTGTCGTTGCATTGACCCAAGTGCACAGCGACGGCACAACGCCTTGCCATGTAGCAGATGAATTTCGATAAGAAACTGGAGGCTTTCTTGCGGAAGCCACAGAGCTACATAACACAGGAGGATGCTCGAGAACTTCACACAGAGGAGGTAAGGACATTATGGCTGCTCTTTCTGAAATAATGAACATGTCTAATTAGTATGTCTGATGTAGGGTCGCGCCTTCAACAAGCCACCTGGTCCTGGGTCTGTCTCCGCGCAGATTCGATCGATAGCAGACCGTAACGAGGCCCTTGGGGTCCCTGCTATGCCGGGAGAGGTACCAGTGTACATTACGACGGATGAAGCGAGGGAGGCTCAGCATGCTGAATCGACAATATATGGCGGACAAAATCCACGCGTTGGGATCGCGGCACAGATGCATGTAGGTGTAAAAAAAGTCAATATGTTGAGGGACATTACCTGTCCGTGATCTCGAACATAGCTGATACTAACTAACTAGTTAGTCTAGAGTGCTGCTGACAAAATCGAGCATGCATATCGGGGCCAACTCGGGTACCTTACTAAAACTCAAGTTTGACAGAAATTCATCACAAACAAATAGTCCACGGCAAGCAGGTACACCGAAGTCTACTAGTAGATATGATGACAGTTTCAGATCGAATTCGGTATTGTGTTTATCTTATACGTACCAAGTATGACTACTAGTAGTTTGCTACACTGTGCAAGTTAAGCCACATATTCGAACATCTGTGCATCAGATAATCAATGAGTCCGAGGCATGTCTTAAAACAGCGAACGGATGGCTAATTTTAGCTTCTGTCATTTCTACATAACATTATCAATTGTTGTGCAAGCCTATCAAGTCACAATGAATGTTTTACAAAGCACTACGAAGCCAATGCTATGAGCTGAGGCTCGCATTGAGATGCATCCCTTTCTGTGAGTGGCTTCCGACAACCGAAGACTACTAGTATGGACTAGTTGAAGACCAGTCGGTAGCTTGCCATACTGTCATAATTATTCCATGTGTGATCATTGACCGCCCTTATCACACCTCTTTCCCAAATCCATATCTCGCATGCCTTTTGCTCACTAGACACCCTGTATTCTAAGAGTGTAGAATACATAGGCAATAATTGGGCTGGGATACTTGATTATGCATGGCTTCGCATATGCAGAGTGATCAAATGCATTTGGGTCCTACCCAGAGAGGTTATATTTGCGTAGATGCCAATCGGCTATTTTGTTTTGGAAACCGCATGAGAGCCCGATTGATGGTGAACTGAAGCTGTCACATCCGAATCTCTACGTCAAAACCAAACATGATGCAGTGGCATACTCTCTGCAGCTCTATTTGGGGGCCATCCTTTGGATGATCGCACATCTTGCTGCACAGTTAGCGCCATGCCCCAGGCGTAAGCCGAGGCCATGAAGACCGAACAAACCCAGGGGCGATATTGAACGCGGGGACGAATGTTTGCCCTCGGTAACGATATACAAGTTTCTTCATGTCGACCTACATACCGTGCTGAACATGACAGTGCCCCAGAGGACAGGGTTTCAGCCCGAGCAGATGATAGGTCTATTCACGGATCAAACTTGATATCTGCCTAAGTAATTATCAAGCCTTCCGGGAGATTGTGCTGCATACGCGACTAGGGATGTTGAGCAGGGATACCCCGCGCAGATCTGATATTCGCCCAAATTTTGGCATTCGGTGAGCAGATAATTGCTTTTGCCGGCACAAACACACACACTATGACTCGGAGCTCACGCAAGGTGTGGAGTAATGCGCAGGAAGCGTCTTGTGCTCGGTTGACCGGATACTTCACACGGGCTTCGAGGTGACCTCAACAAATCCCCCGCCGACCCGCGTGTCGCGAAGCTGTCGGCCAGCGATCGGCGGCCAGTGCTCCCCCATTCGGGACGAGGAATCTCAAATCTCCACGATTATGGACTACTAACTCAGAGCACATTGCCGGCCATCTCCGGGGTAAAGCGTGACAAATCTTTGTCCGGAAAGAGTAGGATGGAAAGAGGGACCAGCACTGCACCTTATCCGGTCAGCATGGTTTGTGGACTAGATTCGACACGTCTATTGGAACAACTGCCCACACCATTTCGGGATGGCGGCATGTCAAGTGTGCGATCAGCACCCTGATTGATATGGGGCAGCTGGAGGATGATTGGTGAGAGTGCAGGGCAGTGCAGTGAGGGAGTAATTGGATTCCGGCGTAACTCCGTAACTACCGCGGCTGTTGCGAGACCTGCTCTGAGAGAGGGAGAGAGAGATCCACCCGCTGGAAATGGAGTCCGAGAAGGTGAGCAAGGGGACTAGAGCAGAAGTTTCTTTCGAGGCGCAACAAAGAAAGGAAAGCAACCGTGCATCGCATCGAGGGACGAGAAGTGGAGAAACTTGGAGAAGGGAGAACAGAAGGAACCAAGCAGAGAGGTTGTCCCGTGACGCAAAGGCGCGCCCCTCTTCAGTCATGACAAATTGTTGTTTTCTCAGACGGTCGCGGCCAACGCCAATTCCAGCCATCCAGCCATGTCGTCAACGAGAACGGGTTTCTACCTCCCCATTGCCCATCCGGATCCTTGGGTGATAATCTTCTCAACATCGTGGATGGGCAAGATGTCAGCTATAAATACGTCGCCTCGTCTTCCACTTTTCTCGAGGGTCCTCATCTCGTGAGCACCTTGGTCGCCTTCAGTCTCTCCTTCTCTCCAATCAGCATTCTCCAATACCCTCCAAATTCTCCATCCAATTATTGCCAGAATGCCTTTGTCCGGCCACTGCCTGTGCAAGGCTGTCACCTACACTGTGGACGTCGACGCACCCCTCATCGTGGGGTACGATCATTGTGACGACTGCCAGCGTCAAAGCGGGTCAACCTACTGTAGGTGTTCCTCCTTGGCTCCCATCCCCCTAGTTCGAACTAAGCAAGGCCGTTCCATGGTTACTGACCTTCCCAACAGCTCTAGTTGCCGTTGTCCCCAAGGACAAATTGACGGTCAATGGACCCCTCAAGAAGTGGTCTGGAACAGGATCCTCCGGCCATGCGGTGCACCGTCTCTTCTGTTCGGATTGTGGTTCACCCATCGCGCACGATCCCGACGCGGCCCCAGAAATCATCGCCCTGAAAGCTGGTACTTTTGACACCGAAATCAAGAAAAACCTCAAGCCGGTATGTTCTGCGAACCCCCTTTAATAACCTAGCTACTCATCTAAATTCCTCTTTCAGGACACCGAGATTTGGACCGTTAGCAAGCTTCCTTTCTGCCAGGAGCACTTGGAGAAGCCTTTCAAGAATATGCCCGAGTAAGCAAGCACCGAATGGAGGCTTCACAAAACATGCTATGATATGACGAATATTATGCAATGTAGTTAATAATGAAACAATTTTGTATTCATCGAATTCAATCTCGTTTCTTGGAATATCACACCGTTTAACCAACCAGTTCCGCTCGCTAAGAGGCCTGTAAAGAGTGAGACCTGGCCACCAGCGTTGAGAATCGGTGTTTAAGTGCCCTTGAAAATGGTGTGCCACGACGGAATAAGGCATAGTACCACCATGGCTGATTGCCATATACGCGAGAAATTTACTCCGGAAGAAGCCGAGTAAGCTACGACGGACGACTGGAACATTGGGGACGGTCAATACTTGGGAAGCAACACTGTCGAAAACTTGGAAACCCGAGACACTTTGTTATTGCAGGCATCTGCCATCTACCGGGAAATTATGCCACGGTCCCAGACGATCTTAAGATTATGGTTTCGCCAACATTGCGGTGCATCTATGCCATAGACCGCGACTAGCGAACCCGCTACGGAGCATCGTCAATTCAATGTCCTCCGGAATACTCTATGTCAAAGACTCGCGCACCGATGTGCAATATGAGATCCCAATCCGGAGAAATGCCGTCGCGGCCGTGGATTTCAAAAAAATCAAAGGCCCAGGAACGGGAGCCGACCGTGCAGATCAAATCGCTGGTGGCCTCAGGGTACATGACCCTGGGTTGAGAAATACTACTGTTGTGGAGACAGCCATAAGCTTCTCGTACGAGTTCCACTGCAGTGGCGGAACGACCTGACTGTTTTAGGGATCATGAGAGGAGTTTGCTTCTTTTTCGCGGCTACAGCTTGGAGCAACTTTGGGAAAGCGATTTCGAGGACGTACTGCATCTCCTTGTTTGGGGATCTTATCCAACAGTGCCGCAGAGGAATAATCTCAGCCACGAATTGACAGGGGCCATGCTAGCCGTGTCAGATGATGTGCAGAGAACGATCTGGAGCCTTCCGTAAGTAAATCCGATCTGCGTCTGCCATCGCTGATGAAGTGTCTGTCTAGAGGCGCCTCGTCGCCGCTGCCGCTCATTGTTGCTGGCCTTTCGGCTTGTCTAGCTAGTCATCCTGACATGATCCCGGCATCGCGTGATGCTAACATGTATCGGAATAATCCTGAGGATGCCGACCGTGCAATAATCCGAACCGTGGGTGCCTACGCTGTGGTATTTGGCCTTGTGAATAGTCACCGGAAGGGTCTACGATTTACGCCGCCATCTCGGGGAAGGTCATACTATGAAAATCTGTTTGTGATGGCGGGACTTGTGGACTCGAGGACTGGTCGTCCCGATCGTGTCAAGCTGTCTTGCTTCCGGCGGTTTTCTATCCTCAACTCGGACCACGGAATGGCATTGACAGTCTTCTCTGCTCTGGCCACATCATCATCCTTGACGGACCCTATCTCCTGTTTGATCACGGCCATAGGCTCGGCGTGGGGACCGCTGCATTTCGGCGCCACGGAATCCGCCAAGAGAACCTTGAGGGATATTGGCCAGGCCGAGAATATACCACGTTATCTTCGCGACGTGAAGCAGGGACACGTGAAGGTGTTTGGGTATGGCCACCGCTCGTACAAAGGCATCGATCCGCGAGTGCCGCCAATCCAATCCATATTGAAGGATCTGGATATGTCTGCAGACAAGCATTTTAAACTAGCCGAGCAGATTGAGAGAGCTTGTTCAAATGATGCCTACTTCAATGAGCGGGGGCTGTACGTGAACGGTGACTTCTACGGACATTTCATCTTTACAGCCATGTACGGCGCCCGAAGGAAAGCGTTGCTCGATTGGACCCACTGCTGACACGTGTAGTGGCTTCGACCCGGAGATCATCCCAGCGGCTATGTTGGCCCAGCGGATCATGGGGATTATGGCGCATTGGCGGGAGTACATGCGTAAGCAGTGATGCGACGGTAGGATATCGGGACTTTCTAACAACCTACAGTGACACGCGGCAAGTTGTTGCGGCCATCACACATCTACACAGGGGAGGCAGAGGAAAGACTACTGCCGAAATTGTAAGTATGGTTGAATGGTATATACGTCAGTTGTCACACTAGGTGATAGAGCAAATCATGGTTTTCACGAGCATGCAATATTCGTCTAGAAGTAAGGTAGTCTTGGCTGGGATAACTGGAATCCTCCAATCTCGGTCATAGAGGTGAAGATCATGTCAAACAGTCAGCAAAATCAAGCCACTCTGGTGGCAGCGAGCCAGCCTGCCACCGAAGGCACACCTCTGCTGGCTGAACAGCCAGCGAAGAAGCCATACTCGATTTTTACTCCTGGCCAGAAACGGCTCATCATCCTAACCGCCGCGCTTGCATCCAGCTTCTCACCACTTTCCGCTAACATCTACTATCCAGCTCTGAACTCCATTGCTGCAGACTTGCATGTAACTAGCTCGCAGATTAACTTGACAATCACAACATACATGGTACGCGTGGACGTCTTTATCAACGGCTATCTGCACTGACCGAACAGCTATGTCAAGGTCTCGCCCCAGCCTTTATGGGATCCTTCGCGGACCAAGCCGGCCGTCGACCTGCCTATATTCTTTGTTTTGCCGTCTATATCACAGGTAATATCGCGCTTGCCTTGCAGCACAGCTACCCGGCACTGCTGATCCTTCGTGCCATCCAGAGCTGCGGTAGCAGCGGCACCGTCGCGCTCGCTTCTGCTGTGGCTGCAGACGTGATAACATCCGCTGAGCGCGGTACTTATATGGGAATCACGTCTCTGGGGATCATCCTTGCGCCGTCTGTTGGACCCCTGGTTGGGGGGATCCTGAGTCAATATCTGGGTTGGCAGGCCATTTTCTGGTTTCTTGCAATAACCTCTGGGGTATTCTTTGCCCCTCTCCTCATCTTCTTTCCGGAAACATGTCGCAAGATCGTAAGTGATGGCTCCATTCCACCATACGGCTGGAACCAGTCTGGCCTGGCTTGGTACAGACACTGGCGCAATCCAGTACCCGCGACTACCAGTACTCCGGGCCATAAACCCTCTAGAATTACCCTTCCTAATCCTTTATCGACGTTGCGCCTTCTTTCGCACTGCCCAACTGGGCTCGTCTTACTGTCCAACGGCCTTCTCTTTGCCAGCTACTACGCTGTCACCGCTGGAATCCCATCACAGTTCAAGCAGACCTACCATCTGAATGACTTCGCAATCGGACTGGTCTTCGTTCCTGCTGGTGTGGGATCCCTTCTAAGCACAACCTTCAGCGGACTCCTGCTTGACTGGAATTACCGGCGTCTACAGGGGCAGTTCGGGTCTCCGATTTTCCAAGCGCACCGGCACGGAGCATTTCCAATTGAGCGGGCCCGAATCCAAATTTGTCTCCCATTGACGGTGTTACCCCTCATTCTTGACATTATCTGAGGATGTTATTGACTGATGAATACCATATCATAGATGCTAGCAGCCTTGTCTATTCTAAGCTACTCCGCGCTCATGAGCCTAGCCACGCCGACCCTCTCCCACGCCCTTGTCCTCATCTTCGCCATCAGCTTCTCCATCACAGCAGCCTACAATATCATGAATATTCTGATTGTGGATTTGTACTACAGTACACCCGCCACAGCCATGGCGGCGAATAACCTGGTGCGGTGCTTTCTGGGAGCAGCAGCAACAGGACTAGTAAATCCAGCCATGGTACGCTGGGGAAACGGATGGACATATGGGTTAGTGGGAGGAATGGTGGGGGCAGTAGTGTGTCCGCTGTTGGGATGGGTGTATGTGAAGGGAATGGCATGGCGATGTGCAGATGAGAGATATAGACCGGTATCAGAATACTGATAGGACAGCCGATTGCAATAATCACCGGTCGACAATATTTCCCGTTCTGTTACACTGAAGTCCACGATAGTATAATATAATAAACAGACTCAAATCAAAAGCTCACATACATGATATCTCGCACACTTTCTACCGCTACACCTGGTACCTACCATTCCAACCACCATCATGAACTACTATCTCCTCATCTCCCTCCTCATCCCTCTAGTCACTACCCAAATCATTGACCCCCTTCCACATTATCCCCAGACCCTCCATCTCCACTACCCCAATACCCCATGGATCCAACCCGGCGACACCCTCCAAATACTCGGTATATCCTCTCCCCACCACCTCCCCTTTCCCCACACAGCTCCTAACCCAAGAATAAACAGACACAAAACCCCTCCCCATCCTCAGCACCCAGCACCTCCCTCTCCACCAAACTTACACCATCCTCTTCCTCGACCTCGACGTCCTCTACAACCACACCACAGCAACCGTCATTCTGCACTGGTACCAGCCCGACCTAATCTCATACCCCAACAACAGCAACATCCTCCTCCCAATCCCCCAAATGCCAACCAGAAAACCAGCAGCCTACATAGCCCCCCAGCCCCCTACCAACTCTCACCACCGATACCTCTACCTCCTGTACACCCAACCACCCAACTACACATTCCCAGAATGTTTTGAGCACATATTCCCACCTACAGCGGAGGCACGAGCTGGATTCGACATGAAACTCTTTGCAGATGCAGCGGGGCTGGGCACGCCCGTAGCGGGGAATTGGTTTTATGTTAGGAATGAGGTTGATTTACCTACTAGTAGTGGGAGTGAGGGAGGGGTGGCTACGTCTACGAGTATCAGTACGGCTACAAAGACGACGACTTCAATGAGGTGGGTTGAATGCGATTTTAGCAGCAGCAGCAGCAGCAGCATTAGTACTTCTGTTTTCACCACTAGTACTGTTATTGCTGCTACAACTACAACAACTCATCCACCCAGCGACTCCCCCACAGAAACCACGCTAGCAATGAGTAACAACATGGAAGAAAGCCAGGCCCAGGCCCAGGCCCAAGCCCGACTCAGCTAGCAAGCACTATAGCCTAAATCTGACCCAACAAGGCGGTATGGGTAAAACCTTACTTTCTGAACTAAAAAGACAAATGAATGAATCAGCACGCACGAACCATCTACCATATTCGTAAAAGAAACCATACCAACGTAACACAGCCAAGGGGATAGACCTACCTTGTTGGGACGCTCCAATCATCAGCAGCAGTAGCAGCAGCAACCAAAGCTGAGCAAAACATATGACAGGCATATACTACACTACACTACACTAACACTGAGTCCTTTTCACTCTACACATACACAGACAAAGGCAAGCCATCCGGTGGGGAGGGAGGGAAGGATGTCTCTCCCCAATCATCATCATGCAGAGGAGGGGCAAGAAGGGTGGTAGGACAAGCAATTAGTAACTCAGAACTCAAATTCAGAATTTCTGGGCATATGAGACAAGTGAAAAACAGAGTAATCTTCTTTGGGATCAGCCTTAGCGGTCGAAAAAAGGCGCTGAGTGGGTAGTAGACTAGTAGGTAGTAGTAGCAGAAGGGTCGTGTGGAACGTGAAAAGATTTCTCTCGCCCATGTAACCTCGACTTTAATCACCCACCCGTCGTCCCGTTCGAACGGGTTGCTTACTGTGTGGGAACTTGTCCCTGTGTGGTAGGGCGTGCAGGGCGTGGCATCATGGCGTGGCTCGGCGTGGAGTGGCGGTCTACTAGTTCATAGTATCCTTTATGCTGGGATTTGTGGTGTGTTGGGTTGGGTTTGCTAGTATGGCTACTAGTAGTAGTACTGACTGCTGCATACTATTAATATAGTACATATAAGTAGTATGTAACCCCCTGGAGGATGCAGGAGAGCTTTACTTATTGCTGTGAATATTACTACGCTAGTAATATAGCTGTGTTCTTATTATCTATACTGATCATATATCTCTCTATTCAATATGAACGAGCATCCCCATCCACTGCCTAAAAGCGTCAAAGTCCGCTCCACCTGCAACGCCTGCCAACAAGCCAAGATCCGTTGCAGCCATGAGAAGCCAGCCTGTCGTCGGTGTCAAAAACACCGCATCGACTGTGTCTACAGCATATCGCGACGGTTAGGAAGACCAGCAAAGAAGAAAGATGTTGACGACGAGAGCGACTATCGTCGGGATCGTGAGTTTCTGGACGGGCCTCGGAAGCAAGAGTCGCGAGCACGGAACTGTTCCAAGAACAGTAACAGCAATAACAGCAGTAACAATAACAGAAAGAAGAAGATGAAGTTAGAGGACGAGCAAGAGACTGTGTTGGATGATACTCTCCTGCTACTGGAGAAAGCAGGTGGGAGCCAAAATGTTTTGGACCCTGTTGGTGTGATAGATTCGGTTCCAAGTTTACCGGGCGATTGCTTTTTGGATGAGGCTACCCCTACAGCTTTGTGTAAGTATCGCTATCTTGTCGGCTATTATACCGCTGTGTCATGTTAACTGGAATAGTCGCGGATAGTGGCTTCGATTTATTCTCCGATAGCTGGGTGCAAGAGTTCATTGCCAACCCGCCGGTCGATCTGGGGCAGGAAGGTTTACTGCTGGATTCGATTGTGAGCAGCGTCAAGCCTGAAAGTACTGGTGGTCGTTCTCCAGTAGATCCGAAGCATATCTCGACAAGCTTTATTCAGGATACACCGCTCATCGCAGCCACGACCTTGGAGAATATTCATGGTATCATGGATGCCCCGTCAGAGGCAAAGTATCTGAAGGAGGACCCCTTGGCTTGGTCGCTACCATTCTCCACGATGGACGCTTCCCCAACCAGACAGATAGCCACCGAAACTACTGCATTTGCTCAAGCGAAGATGACAAAGAGACCATACCTATATGGCCTCCCTGCGGGAGATTTGAAACCCGTGTCAGCCGTTCTAGCGCCGCACGCATATCAATTCCAGTGTCACGAGTACACGATACAGGAATCGTTCAGGCAGATGTCGATCGCCATAAGGATGGGGCCGTATATGTCGATTGACCATATTCTTCACTGTCAACGTATGCTGCTGAATGTATCCGATACCATTCTCAAATGTTGCGTCTGCTGCATCACGAAAAGGGATATACTCATGGTCATAGTTGTCAATATCGACAGTCTGATGACGAATCTGGAGGCCATAACGACAGGGGAAGCCGGGAATCCGCAGAGACTGCTGTACAACGGGTATCACGAGCACATGCTGCCGGATTGCAAGCAGGATATTCCAGGAAATATGAGCAGACGGTACCGGAGTGGTGGACTGCATTTCAGGAGTCAAATTGATGCATGTCCATTGGTAGTGGGCAAGTTCTGCGTCCAGTCTGGTGACAAGTTCTTCTGCATCTTGCAGATCTTATACAGTCAATTATCGGATCTGCTGTCAACGGTCAAAAGAATCACACTTTATACGCAAGAATCGTCCGCTCGCGTATCTCTGGCTAAGGAGACTGAGAGGCGGTTGGAGGAGGTTATGTTGCAGATGAAGAGGATGACCAGGGTGTAGGCAATGGCGCTGCTGTTCAGAGTTTATAAATTTTGTAGTGATTGGTTTTAATTCGACTATTGGTCGCATTTCCACGACATTTCTAAGCCGTAGCTTGCTTCTGAACCCCTGTAACTCCTAAATCAGAATACAATCAGTATTGCCTTCAGTTTATCGCCAGAGCAAGGGTCTACTTCTCGTATTCAATTTAAGCCAAATTGCTATACGTCAACCAGCCTACCGGTCACAACGATATCTGTGCAACCCACTGCGGGTCGAATGACAACATGTTCCACGACGAACAGGCTGTCCAGATATTCTGGACCAACAAAGCCAATTCCTTCAAGGTTGATCGGAAATGTGAGGCTGCCATGAATCACACTCACCGAGGTCGTACTTGAATGAGAACAACACGTGAAGGCAAGTATGAAGTTAGATTGAGTCATATCCCAAGCCCTCCATCACACAGCATCTGGACGATGACAAGACTTACCATCAACAGAGAAGCCACATCAGCAATGTCAACGGGGTACCAAATGCCCCAGCACGCAAGCAGAATGGAACCGCCCACTACCAATTGTCCCTGCTCAATTAATGGACTTCAAATAATTACGGAGCTCCGGACTGTCCAGCCCGTTGTTGAACTTGGCACGGTTCTCGATATCGTTCAAAGGGTATATACACACGGCAAGGATGTACTCCAATGCCAAGACTGTCGAAAAAGCCCACACTCATCATATGTGATGCTACCAGCATTGGCGGAGCAATGTCTCTCCCTATTTGAAGCCGTCTGTATAGCATATAACATTATGAGGGGGAACATGCTATTTGATCCGTCAGTATTGGCGTTCGAGGAGCCATTGCCGCAATTTATCTGTATGAGGAGTAAGACAGTGTTGGGGCAGATAGAGTTGGATGAAAAGGAGTCCGTGATGCTGGTAAGAACACTACTGGGGAGGAACTTAATGAAGATTTTGGAGGTGTTGGAGACACTGCAAAAGATATTCAGGTCGTTAGGGAAAGACGCGGTTGAAGGGGGAAGATGTGCGGGCCCCGCAACGCTACGGGCGTGTGAGTCGTCGGTTGAGGTCACCATGCGGAGGTTCGCAGTTTTTATGAAGCAAGTTGAGGATAACTCTGGTAGGTCGTTTATACATTCTAGGCTCGCGGTTGTGGCTAACACTGATTCGTGTAGGGGCGTGAAGGACGACGACGAGGGGTGAGGGGCGAGGACGAGGCGTACCCTATATACTTTGTGAGATCAAGCAAGTTAATGAATTAGATTGGGTTCCGACGCGTTAGCTCATTCCAGTCATTAGACTGGCACTAAGACCATCATCATATGATGTAAGACAACACACGAGAGATCAGTAACGAGAAACATTGAGTCGAGAACATGAACGGAGAAGAAGAAACAACACAATGACGAGTCGCGAGAGATATCAAGTCGACAACAGAATTGAAAAGGGAAAACAGACGAGGACCAGTTCAAAGAAGACCACTCCAAAGAAGACCAATCTAAGGAAGGTCAATTAATCCACCACATTCTGTCCAGATGTCATCCCAACGAGCTGTCTGTAATCCTTCCTAGACATGAACCAAAGACGTGTCGAAAGTAGGTACTCGCATAAAGAGACGAACCAAGAAGAATTGGCGAAGGAGCAGATACGCAAGTTAGCGAGGCATAGTGCGCTGATAGGTGCCTAACCATTCACCATATCCGATGACTTTGCCGACCATGGCCTCTTTAATGACTGAGACAGTAGCCTTGTCTGGCTGGGCAATGTCAAGGGGCTCGCTCAGCGCCACGATGGTGAAAATGTAGCGATGATACCCGTGGCCGTAGGGGGGCGAGGCACCGATGTAAGACGACCCAAGAAGGTTAGGAACGTATCTCCAACCAGCGAAGGTGATGCGGCCAGGCATGTTGGGATTCATGTCAACGTCATCATCGTAGGCGACGAAACAAGTATGTGGAATCTCGAAGAAAAGACCGTGAACGAAGACCATAGACGGGATGGGGACGTCGGGGTCTTCGCAAATAAGTACAAACTCTTTGGCTTCTCCGGAGCGAGGCATAGTCCATCGGAGGTTGGGGAATCTGCCTCCCTTCTCACCGTCAAGGTAGGTGTGATGGTCGAGGAGGCTACATCCGGGCAGCCCGCACTCAGGAGCCTCGAGCTTCATATTGGGCTCAGGCAAGTGAGCAAAAGCGGCGGACTTGGTGATGAGGTTCTTGTCGTGGCCTCTAACGTAGTACAACAATTTGAACAGCAGAAGCTGCAAATAGAGGAAGAGAACTGAGAACATGGTGTCGGTCCTCTGCAGCAGGTGGTAGGTACGTGTAGAAAGGTTTGGATGATCAAAGGGAGTGTTCAAGACAAGGAATACTTAGAAGGACGGTAGGTGTTTGGAGGATGAGGGTAGAAGAAGTAGAAGGTGAAAAGGAGGAGAAGAGGAAGAAGGAATCTCGACGTGTTGTTGACAGAGAAGGGCCCAACGCAGTCGAGGAAAAGCGCCTGAACCGGCCCGTGGCCGGCTGCCCTAGACTAAGTGACATTTCCATAGAAACAGCAGCAATCTAGTGTTACCATTTGTAAATTTAATAGCCGTCTGTCAGTCATACTCTAAGCCCAGGAAATAATGCCCCGCGTCTGAAAGGGGCTAGAAAGCCGTGAGAGAATGATTCACTGGATGAACATGAGAGCCCAGAAAGAGGCAGTTATAGTGTAAAAACATGCAGAGCAGCGACAGATTTCATGATCAGGCATGATCACAAGCACAAGGATATACCAGCCTGATATGGAATCTAGTGAGGGCACATGAAGAGATGTGAAGCCGGCAAGCCAAGCCGATATCAATCGATCGGATCAGTTGCTCTGATAAGAACAGCCAAAGTGGATCCCATGACGTAGCGTGCATTAGTGTTGAGTTGTGCACACTGTCTGGCTGAGTCAGCAGCACAACGCTGGTTGGACGCATTTCCGCAGGTCTCCGAGACCTCCGAATGTGACTTCGATCGTGTTTTCTCCCTTGATGGACCTGCTGTGAAGTTCCTCTGGTCCCCTGCTCATCATTCCTGCTTCTTCTGATGGCTTTTGCATCTCCGCCGGCCTCTCCTCCGGATGAGGATGGCCAGGCCCGCGCGCCGCGCTATCCCGGCGAGGATACAACGCCCACCAGCCGCCAGGAAATCTGGGGATGGTACGCCTATGGTATCGCTGCTGAAGTGTTTGCGGTATGCGGCGTAGGTGTGTAATCCCTTCCTTGAACCCATCTTCATATTTGCAATGCTAATGATATCGTATAGGCTCATTCCTTCCCCTCACACTGGAGCAATTGGCCCGTGAGCGCGGGTTCCTCCAAAGCAGCCATTTGCCGTGCGTCGGTCCCGACTCGCCCTCCGCGCCCAAGGAATCTTCTCCAGCCATGTTTCGCCGCGATGACACCAATGAGCAGTGTGTGGTTGGACTGATGGGATTGGAGATCAACACGGCCAGCTTCGCCATGTATACTTTCTCTCTGGCGGTTCTGGTGCAGGCGTTGACTCTGATCTCATTCAGCGCCCTGGCAGACTATGGTATGACCCACTGCCTTATACTCCGATGAGGCAATGCTGAGAAATCGTATAGAGAACAATCGCAAGACGCTTCTTGTCGCATTTGGATTTATCGGATCAGCAACAAGCATGCTATTCGTTTTCGTCGCGCCTCCAGTATTCGTACTGGGGGCGCTTCTAGTCGTCGTTGGAGTCGTCTGTCTCGGCTCATCCTTCGTCGTACTAAATTCCTTCCTACCAGTACTCGTCGCCAATGACCCCTCCATCCAGAACAGTAACAAGGAATCCGCCGCTGAACTGCATCGGCTCGACCCAGAAGCCGAATACGTGCACGCCCGCACATCCTTTGATAGGGACGAACCAAACCATCGCCCTCCAACCGGGCTCGGTCTAGGCGGCGCAACAGGCATTTCCTCCCCAGAATTGCAGTTGTCCACCAAGATCTCCTCCAAGGGCGTTGGTCTCGGCTACTGCGCAGCAGTGTTTGTCCAAATACTCAGTATCCTACTGCTCTTCACCCTATCCAAAACCTCGATCTCCAAGGCCTCTGGCACGCTTCCTTTGCGCTTCGTGCTCCTGCTCGTTGGCATCTGGTGGTTTAGCTTCACCATGGTGAGCCGGCGCTGGCTGCGCAGCCGTCCCGGACCACCCCTCGAATCTACTTCAACGGGCGCAAACAGCCGCCAACCACGCTGGCGCATCTGGCTTCACCTCGTCGCCTTCGCGTGGAAATCACTGTGGAAAACGGTGAAAATAGCTCTCAAACTCCGTGAAGTGATCGTTTTCCTCGTGGCGTGGTTCCTCCTGTCAGACGCAATGGCCACCGTCTCCGGTACGGCAATCCTCTTCGCCCGCACCGAACTCAAGATGAGCACAACCATGGTTGCCCTTCTTTCTATCACCGCAACACTTTCCGGTATGGCAGGAGCGTTCCTGTGGCCTATTGTCTCCCGGTACTTCGGTCTCAAGTCCAACCATACCATCATGGTCTGCATTGCGTTGTTTGAACTCATCCCGCTTTATGGTATGCTTGCATACATCCCTCTATTTAAAAACTGGGGCGTGATCGGATTGCAACAGCCATGGGAAATCTATCCCCTTGCCATTGTGCATGGAGTCGTTTCCGGTGGATTGTCTTCCTACTGTCGGAGTTTCTTCGGGTTATTGATTCCTCCCGGTATGGAAGCTGCATTTTATGCACTTTACGCTGCAACAGACAAGGGGAGCTCGTTTATCGGACCTGCAATCGTTGGGGTGCTTATCGATGCAACCGGACAGGTACGAAGTGGGTTCTTCTTCATTGCGGTGTTGATTGTCTTACCTATTCCTCTGGTATGGATGGTGGATGCGGAGAAGGGAAGAAAAGAGGGACTCAAGATTTCAGAGGATATGGTGAGGGGTGGAGAGGGTGAGGATGAGGAAGTGGAGGGATTGCTGGCTAGGTAGATAACGTTAGACGGTGAGGATAGACTGTCTCGGAAATGAGTTATGGAAGGAATGAGGAATGAGAAGAATTTTAAAGATCACAAATGTTATCGATGGGAATAACGCTTGCATGAGCACGTGATTATTTATATCTCTATATTCACTGTTACTATGATGTGCTCATGTGCAAGTCACGAACATAGTAGTGACGGTAAATGTCACTCATCGTCATCTACAACCACCACCATCCAAACACCTACTTCCCCATTACTCGCCAGCAGCGGCGTGCAATGAACCCATCTATCCCTTCCCTGTGCATTAAATCTATTCAACCATTTGATCCTTGCTGTGACGCTCCGGCCACTCATTAATGCATGCAGTAATTCATCCCTAACTGCTGCACTACTCCCAATTCTAGAGAGAAAGGAGGACTGTAGTATTCCAGGTATTTGCAGCGAAGGCGAAGTAAACAATATCCTTAGTGATGGATATGGACGGACGAGAAGATACTATAACAGTTAGCACTCTGTCCCACATTAGGTGAGAGACACTCACATTCTCATATACACCAACCAACGCCGTCCCCATCTTGGTATCCTTCTCCTTTATCCCATCAGTATCGATGGAATCCTCACCTTCAACACCAGACCACCTTGTCCGGAAGCTATTACGCAATGCCGGGGAAGTCTTAGGTTGGAAGAGGCTTCCTCCGATGTCCTGAGTGACCTTCAGCTCTCGTGGACTGAATAGCTCACTCAAGTCACGGAACTCGTCTCTCTGGATACCAATCGGTGCCTCTGCCACTTCCACACCGTCCCTTAACTGCTGCTTTTGCAAATCTCGCAGCGACTCCATCTGGACACCGTCCATAACCAAGCCACTGACATCGATCTGAGCCCCGATGAAGTACCGCACTCTACCATGGCTGTCGCATAGTGGAGCGCACTGGAGAAGGTTCATAAAGGGAGAGCCATCGCGACGGCTACGTCGTTCGATTGTCAGCATTTATGCGCATTTTGTATGCAATTAAACTTACTAATTCAGAAACAACTCCGAATGATGCCTTCCGGCTGCCAATGCCTCTCTGATCCTCCGCACACAATTAGGATTCGTCTTCGGTCCCTGCAAAAACCGGCAATTCCGTCCAAGCACATAGTCCATTCCATACTGCGTCGTGCGATGGAATTCTACCACCAAAACCAACAGATGTCAGCAAAAGAACAAAGGCTCATAAGGAAGGGGGGACTGCCTACCCTCCGAAGCAAAAACAATGGGATTATCTCGTCTCGACGGATCTGTAAGACAGAATACCTCCGCCAGTGCCTTCTCCTCATCCGTTCTCTGGAACCTCTTCGGTAAGGTCCCCCTGACCCTTTCCTCCACCACCCGACTGGTAATTCCTATGCAGCGCGAGGTAATAAACGCAGGGAGTTCCTCATCAGTAAGCATCTTCAAGGCCTCCTGTACCCGCTGTTGCAGTGCCGGATGGGTGATTTCTCCAATTTTCTGTCCTGACATTGAAGACACCGGTGATTTCGGTTGAGCATCATCGACAAAGCATCGCACCAAGCCGTTCGCGTAATCGATGGCCTTGAGGGCTTTACGCGTTGTCAAGTAGTAAGTCAACCTGTGGAGAGAGCGTGGACGCTCCTCAAGAAGAAAATCGCGAAATTGCGCTAGATAGCGCGGGTTGTGCAGAATGGTAAGCATATGCTCCGATGAGAAGACGAGATCGGCGATCTTTTCGAGAGCATGAAGTGGTGGGGCCTCTTGCGTATCGTGCTGTGGTGCAATAAGATCATAGGACAAGCCAGGGTCACAGACAGGATTGAACTCGTCGGATTCGTCATAGTAAGGGTTCGGCTGGTGAAGAAGAGGAAGCTCGTGAATCATATAGTTCCTACGAAGTGTCTTGACAGACGGCCTCGAGACCAGAGCTTTTGTCGTGATATGTGCACGACTAGGGGGACGAGGAAATCCGAGAAGGATTTCGCTGGGTCGTCGTCTGCGCACCTCTCGCGACCCATCTTCGCTGATGGAACCGGAAGAAGTAGATGATCGCCATGGCGAAGGCGCGTCTGAAGGGGGGAAGTTGTCCAATGCGACAGTGGACGCGTATGAGCGCATTGAAGTTGCGTCGAAGTGGTCCATGGCTGGTGCTGAGACTGAGAGTGTTTGTCCGTACCAGGTCTGTGAGGGGCATGGCATTTCACCCATCCTTTATACAGCAATTTGTATTCGTAGACGCGACATATCCAACGATCGCTACGACATACGAGATTATCCCCTGAAGACAGGTAGGAAAAGGCAACCTCTCATCGCGATGTGAAGCGATCGAAAAGAACCGCCGCGGCGTAGATGCGAACTCCGATCGATCGATTGCCGCAGGTGTCAACCACGAGATCGAGAAATCGTTCATGCGTGATGCAATCCCGCATGCGATGTGTCTGCTCCACTATTGATCTACATCGGCAGAAGAATTTTGGGAAAGAAAAGCAAACTTTATTTGAGAAACTGGTGGGTGTCTGTTCAACATATTGATTGACCCGTCTGCGGGAGGTAACTCTCCTATCCACTAATGGAGCCGGGAACTCAAATCCCATCCAACAATCAACCCGTGTTCTGCAGGCACAGATCCGGGCTACTCCCAATTAATACCTAATCTTAATATAGGTAACCAACTCACCCTCCTCCAATGCCGCACCAGTGATAGGATCCTCGCTATCAGGCCCCAAGAGCCGGAACAACCAGTACGGCAGCTTCGATCCAGAATCAGAGTACTCCTTGATGGCCCAAGTAGTGACATTGTTGGCGCCAATAAACAAGCCGTCCTGCTGCGTGCCGTTCACATAGTGATGGTAAAAGTCGACCGGGACAGACGCCTGCTCGTCCAATCCCCACATCAAAAGCGCGGTATAGGGGATAGAACTGATGTTCAATGGCTGAAAGCTGTATCCGCTCACGCCGGTCTCGACAAGGCCGTTGAGAATAGAAGGAGAGGAGTCATCGCAGATGATGGGGTTCTTGGCCTCGTCGTTTTCGGAGCCGATGGCGATCTAATCGATCAATTGTTAGTACTAACGAACTGGTTGATGAGATCAAAAGGGGTAATGGCCATACATATCCCATATGGATACCGGTCTCTCCAGCAGTGCGGAAGACAACGCTGGTATCACCGAATCCCTCAATAGGACAGGCCTGATCCGGCGCGGTAACGTTCTTGCAGTCGCTGGCAGCAAGCATGAAGTAGCCGGTGGTTCCGGTCTCTGGGGAGTACGAATCGATGTTGGTGCATCCTCCGGTGGCGCGAACGGGTTGCACGGCCGAAGCGTAGGCAGAGCCTGCGAGCATGGAAACTCCGGTCAGGATAGCGGGAATCATGATGGTGATGCGGATACTTGTGTTCTGGAGATCTGAGCCTGGAATACAAGTAAACCTCGACGGGTCAGACAGCCATATTTATACTATACTCGTGGCACAACATCCTCACGATCGGTAGTATTGGCCGAAATCGCTCTCAAAATTGCGACTCCAGAACAAATTCCCTGATTCTGTTAGCATCAGACCATCATAATGCAGTTGTGCCTGAATAGGCAAAAGACCCATACAGAAGCTCGTGGGGGCCGTTCAGGGACAAGCGCGTATTGGTGGTCCGTTTAATTGGATGGGGCGGATACGACGGCTCGAACCGTCGATTTTGGCTGGCAGAGGAAACTTCTCCTTTACCGACGCCCCGTGATTTAGTGGGAGGGTTTTGAGGCGATTGCCACGATGGAAGGAAGCAAGCATTTGCTTTGGACCCTGACCGAGGTCTTCGGTGATGGATGCTGCCTGCAGGGGTCGCGGTGATGCCTGCTTGAACGTGCTTAGCGCATAAGTAGTCTTGTATCTAACTGGACCGTCAGTGAAACATGTCCAGTAGTATTCTCCGTCAACTATGACTGTGAGGATGCTTGGCTCGGCAGTGGAATTGTCCTCATGTCTCGTGGGGCGCATGAGGCTGAAGTTGTCTCTGCTAAACCTACATCCATCCGGTCGGGGATTCGCCTGAAATGTCCGATAAAGCGACCGTAGGCATTCCATAACTGCCTAAGGAACGCAATACAACCTCAGATAACGATGTCATGAGCCATTGGAGAATTAGGCATCTCTAAGCATTCATTATTTCAGGCAGCAACTCCAAATAATCATGGATACCGAATACCCCTTTTTTTTGGCATTTTTTTGTGTCTAATCCGTCGGATGTCATACTAGGCCGCTCGATGCCTCATCGCTAAGGCTGCACATTGCATACGACTGTGTCCGGTCGTGCATAAGCAAGCTTTCCTTGTTGTCAGCACTGCTGTTATGCCATTTCATTGTTTTCTCCAAGCAAGCTGAAATTTGGAAAGAGACGATACCTGTTAGATATCACCCATAGACAAGATACATTCCACTAAAAAGTCAAGGATTCCGTTTCCCGCGGGCAGGATAGCCCGTCAGTCTAGAACCGCCGACATTCAGCCTCATACGCACATTTATATATTGACATCCAGATAGGTAAAGTATTATGCCTGTTGCTCTGGTTTAGTAGGGGGTCGAAGTTCATAGCTAATGGCAACTACAAAGCCAATTTCCTAAATAGGGACATTTATAGAGGATATATATTGACATTGAATTTATGTACACAATGCCTTTGTCTCAGTTGAACCGTCAGTCTATTCTATTTTCTCTCAACACAAGAAATACTAGACAACATACTAAGTACCCGGCCAGATTAATTTGATAGTATCACGAGTCCCCCAGGGTACATTGCACGCATAATCATATCATAAGCTTAATCTCTTAACACGTAAAAGGTTTACTTATTTCCCCCGACCGAAACTCGTTAACCTATAGTAATCCATGTCAGCATATGATCTTCAGATCCATATAGAAACCACTTACCAGCTCCGCAATACTCGAGTAAGTACCACAACCAAAAACAATCATACCGACAATAAAGACGACCAAGTTACACATCGCAGGCCGTAAATTGTGTTTCTCATACCACGCCCCATCTCTCAAAAGCACAAACCACATTACAGGAGGGATGTAAAACGAGAGACCGGACACAAAAAGTGCTGAGATGATAGAAAGTAGCTCCGAGAAAATAGGTATAGCCTCGGCAATAACCCAGGCGAGAACAGTAACAAGGGATATGAGACCCAACCAAGTCATCCAACCCTTCCGAGTATTGATAAAGCGAGCGGCCGAATCATGGTAGAACTTGCCGTGGATGTACCTGCAGACGACCGTCACGTTGATAGAGCCAGAGATGAAGATCACTGGAAGAGCTATGCCGAAAACTACTCTTGAAATGACTGGTCCGGCCGATAGTAGGGCAGGAGATTGCACCCCCTGGCCTACGAAAGCGTAGATAAGCGATCCTGTCAGCGTATAGATGACGATCTGAATGCCTCCTAGCCACCAGAGGGTTTTGATGTAATCTTCCGGAGTATGCATGTCTTCCATGAAGGAAGGCAAGCAGCCAGCGAAGGAATAAGCGAAGACGATATTGTTCGTGGCGACAATTGCTTGCGAGAAAGTGATGCCAGCTATGGGCCACGCAGACCACGGGATATGATCAGCGGAGAAGGTACCAGTGGAACTGTGACTTTGAATGCCCGTTGCAATCACCGTGACTCCAATTGCCAAGATAATCGACGCAAAATCGATGTAACCAAGGATTGCAATTTCGGCAAAGGATGGAGGAATGGCGAGGGTCATCAGAATGGCAGCGGAGACAATACTGAAGACCACTGAACACACGCTGCTTTCGGTGATGGTCTGGAACGCAATTGCGCCGGTCAAGCAGTGAGACCCAATGACAAAGACCAATAGGGCGACAAAGCTGCCGACGAAGATTTTGCCTCCCACATTTCCCAGGAGAAGATGACCGACGTCCGCGTAGTGCCCAACTTCCGGGTACTTTAACTTCACTTGTCCAATGTTATAGCCCGCATACATCGCTACCAGTCCGATACCAATTGTGAGGATAACACCCGCAACCATGCCCAGCGTAGCGAAGGCAGAAGGTAGACCCAAGCTCCCGAGGGCGATTGCCTCCACTATGGAAATAACTGTAAGGCGTTTCCATCCTAGCCGGCGAAATCTGGCAGTGCCCTCTAAGATGTATTGGGTCTCGGGATCGGACAAGTCCGGACTCTTCGGAAGGCCTTCGCTGGCCATGAAGACGCGAGCAAACGATTGGCAATGAGGGTAATGTCTGAATTGAGTATGAAATAAGTAGGGCCGCTCTGAGTTCTTGAAATGTTCAAGAGTGTTCAAGAAAAGAACTGGGGGGATGGGGGGTTAGAGATAATCAGATGATCAGATAAGATGGAAGGGACTGATTGCTTCCGAGGGAATTTCCCGGCCGCGCAACCCCACCCTCTCTGCAAAACCTTTCCAACACTAAGACATCACTAATCCGCTTCGGAGGACTAGCCGCTTACCCCTCACGGATTCTCCAGTTAGAAATTTGTTTTTTATCTTGCATATGGTGCAATTCACTCGTCAAATCCAAGCATTTCTGAAATATTTCAAATAGCACGAGCAAAAGATGGGTTGTCTATAAAATCCCGTCTTCCATCAGACGAAGATGGAAAACATATTATCCGAGGCGCAAGACGCATTCATGGCGGAAATACGATGATAGTAGGAGCTAAGGGCGGGTCGCCGATATTAGACGGCCCCGTTCGGACCAATTGAGAATCTATGGAGGATGATAGGGAATCCTGCCAAGTCGTCAAACAGTGTCAACCCACTCTCCGATGTTAAGGTGATTATTCAATGGATGCTTCACAAGAAGATTCGGTTAAAGCTTACCAGATTTTGCCCTTCTCAAACTGTCAGTGCCATTACCCGTCGGTGGAACAGGCCTGCACTTTCCTTGTGGTACAATAATGGACTTGCATCGAGATTGCATGTCCTGATGTTCTGCCAACCAAGGTTGCATGAGATTGCCATGCGTTCGATGTAAACTCAATTTTATCTTCGGGAAATCAACCTTAAGAATGAGACACACACAAATTCTTTGTTTTGAAAGACGAAATGTACACAACTACATAATACTAGCTCAAAGCTGGTTGGATCACAAATTTTAGTAGCCTACTTGACTAATAAGGAACCATGTCACATGTAACCTGCACTTCTCATCTCCGCTATTATCTCCTATCTTTTAGTGCTACCTCCTCTCCCGTCCCCGCAAGAAAATGATAAACCAAAAGAAAAATCCAGAAGATCAAGAGACGTCTGAGCTGGCGGTATGAGGTCCCATAATAACCAGCCGCCGAGTCAAGATATCATCGAAGTGCCATAGGAAAAGTTTCAATGAATGGCGCAAATGCCTCCTCTGTGAGTTGCCGTCTCCAATCGCCCGGTCTTTCATCCTCTGCGGAGGTCACTGCTCGACGACTAGGGGCATGTTCTCGAGCAATCTGACTAGTCCACCGTTGATAAACTGGTACCATAATCTCCGGTCCTCGATGAAATGCCTTTTCCTTTCGCTCCCGGTCCCTAGATGATTGCGATGATAGCCCGGTGTCGCCATCCTCTCGCTGCCGGTGCCGGGAATAAGGAGCATTAGCAACAGAACGCCGGAGCCGCTCGCGGGATAGCCGCAATGCTGCTAGTCCTTGTGCAATGTACTTTTCGTTATGCTGGTGCCTCAAATTGGGATTGTATTGGAACCCGAAGATTGGGGATTGACTGTGCTCCGTGCTGTCGATGTATACGTACGCGTAGTCGGTTTTATTTCTATGCAAATGATCTTCGCGCCGGATATCTGCGTGGGTTCGATGCGGCCACCGGCGGGGGAGGGTGTGGATCAGGTTGCGGACGTAGAGCGGGAAAGTATTGGGAGCAAAGCGGAAGAAGAGCTGGCCACTGTGGTATGAGTCAGGGGATGCCCACTCCTCACCGATGGGCGTATCTTGTTGGACCCGATCCCTGAATTTGTCGCGCGCATCGCAGAAACAGATGTGTTGTGGTATCTGATGGGATGGCAGTTGTTTGTTCCTGTCTGTGGTCTCATCCAATAAATTGGGCAATGAGCCTGCCGCGTATTCGAAGAAAACGACGGGGTCTCTGGTGGTTGGCCACTCAGGGTCAAACTCGAATATGGAGAGCCTCATGCCCCGTAGACGTTTCAGGCGGCAGAGCTCGAGGAGCCCACCATCCCAAAAAGTGTCTCGTACCGCCTGTACAGGGAAATGAAGATAAACCTGAATAGAGATGGCAGCGAGATTAGGGAAACCGAGACTGATTAACGAGAAAGTCTCATTCCATTCAGCGAGGTGTGTATCCATTCCTTGCTGTGACGGAACACATATTTTAAGATATTGTATCGATTGAACTTGCCAGCGCCGTAAACAAAATGAAAAGTTCGAGAAGGTTCCAACTTGCTGTGTGAAGAAAATAGTGCGCATATAGGGTAAATGTCGGGCTTCATGGTAAATCTGACGGCAGGTGCGAAGAAATGAAAGATTCATACAATTATTCGCAAGGTCCTGCGGCCGAGGGTAGTCTGGAGACGCGATTTGAGGTGCGGTACCAATGTACTGGTCAGATTGGAGGATTTTCTGCTGTGTTGTCACACATTGTGGGTGGTTGCAGGTTGCGATTATGATTGATGGCTGATGCCGCATGGGGTTTCGCTGTACCTTCAAGGAGCACTTCGAGATTTTACACTGAACTGTAATCGGCTTTCGCTCAATAGGGCAGACATGATGTTCGAATACTGCTTGGTAGATTAAGAGTCGGATTTCTGCAGGTAACAATAACAAATGGTTATTTTTTGCAGGTGCTGATTTTCTACACATTGCAATGAGAATGAGAAATATGCCGGACTTCAATAGGAGAAGAAAGTGAAACAAGCCGAAAGACAAATATCTGCCTTGAATTTATCTGCCAGCCTTGTGTCAATGCTGTCTTATCGGTGAGCTAATTTAGTACATTGCACAGAGCACATGATTGGCGTCTAACCATCACCGGGAGAGTCGAGCCGAGATTAATCGGAGAGTACTGGCGAATTATGTACTCGACACAAGGGAGACCGACAGGGACCATATAACGACATCGCGCGGACATCCGGTCTAGGCCTTCATGATGCAATCAACGGGCTTCTTACTGTGAGGGTACATGCCAATTGGGGCTTAGATAGCTACAACTAGACGCAGCCAGCGCCAATCTAGGCGGGGATCTGAAACATGCCCTATAGATAAGAACGTTGGATTGCGGTCACACAAACAAGGAACATCAATTGCTTGATAAGAGGAAACAACCAGCTGGAAGGCTAGATTAAGCCAACATAGAGTAGCACCGGTGACGTGTACTCAAGGCTCACGCCTTATTACCAGGCCCTGTCTACATTCGTCAATGAGGGCCGGATCACACTCGGCTGAAAGGTTGGTGGTGAAGAAGTCAGTCATGATGCAATGGCTCTAAATTTGCATTTGCCCTGTTGGCTTGCCGACTTCGTTGAAAGAAGTGCGATGAAGACTGGCCAGCGTGTCATGCGCTATAACTCCTTCAAAACCTCGAAATGTTGTCAGTTAACCAGGTTGCTCTAGATGTTCAAACCCACTCCTGTATATATCGCTCTCCAACTTGATTTTAAAGCCTCTGGTTTCCACACTGCCTTTTACACACGTCGCATCTTTGACAAGATGAGTGAGCAAGTTGATACAAGGGCCGCAGAGCACAAAAAAAAAAAAAAAAAAAAAAATCGAACAGGATCCATTAATCAACTGTCATTGTCCTCTGGTGAAGAGGCTAACGGAGCAAGAGGTAGGAAAACAGAGTGCCATTCCAAGGCATAGCCAACAACCCATCCATTGGGCAAGTTGTATCTTTGGAAGACGAGGCACAGAGAGGAAGACAAAGTATAACATACGGACCAGAGTCGTCAGGTGGTATAATACCCGCCAATTTGGAGCAGACAAGGTTAGGGACTTATGTCGGAAGGATATCCACCTGAGCCGCATGGGGGACCGAATCTGTGTGCTCTGTGAAGATCGAGGTCGTCGTCCACACACCATTTGGTCAAGATGAAATACCACAGCAACATGTGCAGTAAAGGTTTCAAAATGGGGTCTTATAAAATAGCTCCTCGGGAATAAAACCAAGCCTTAGCTTGATCGATTCCTAAAAGCGTACTGAGGAGCATCCGTCCAAAACCGTCCACATCAGACGGTCGCGCGCATTCAAGCACATGGCCAAAATCTGCATTACAGACCACAAAATGCTGATTCTCGTTCCATGCAACGGCAAAGTCGAATGAAGTTTGCGCATTCCACAGGGGTGCGGATAGGTACCATGAGTGGTTGAGACCGAGACGTCCGTCGCAGCTAAGGTTGTTCTCGCCCGTCACGAAACGGTATATTTGCACCAGATAAAACGTGAAAAGGACGGTGCGACGCGCAGATTCCTGGTATACCCATTCTTTCCAGGACTGCATGACGGCATCCATGGGCGCGGTAAGAGCAGCATCGGGCTCTGCAGCTGGGAAGTATATATAGTTGAGAAGATTGAAGGCCGATGTTTCCAGCATGGGAATGAAAGGCTCAGCGGACAGTCGGGCATGGATGTCCCCGTCGAACAGGCGCATTATCTGATACAGTATCAGTGACTGAGTCTGTGCAAGTGCTTCGAGAGGCGTGCTCGGTGGCGGAGAAGCACACAAATCGTCAATGCGGGTTTTGAAGGAAGAGAGGATGACAGGAGCATTGATATCATTTCGAGCCATGTAGAGGGCGCAGCAGGCGAGGGCGTCTGCAATCTTTAGCACAAAGCTGAGATGGAAAGCAATCAACGTACCTTGCATTGACCTGGGCATGCCGTCCTTGTACAATTGGCGATGACACCAGGGCGTCTGGCTTTCGAGGACCATCATTTTGGGTGCTTGTTTCAGCACATCCATGCCGAACTGTAGGCGTTCCGTGACTATTGTCGATATGCGCAGCGAAGACCTTGTCTTGATCACAGCGGTACTTGAATTGTCATGTATTGGCGACATCGAAGGAGATTTCATAGGCGGCATTTGGGCCAGTAGATTGGCAAATTCGGTTTCGGGGCTCGGAAGCTCGAGGGCACATGATAACTGCTCTACATCTGGGAAGTGCGTATTGATATCAGCCCCACACGGGGTTTCGGCAAAGGCGGGGAACAGAGGGTCTTCCAGGAGGTTTACTGCAAGCGATGCTGCCTCCATGTTCATGCTTTGTGGTTGTCTACCAGGATAGACACAGATCTGATTGCGGCGGGCACATCGGAAGCAAGCTGGCCAGGCAAGATCACAGCGTCGCTTGGCTATCTTGCAGGCCTCGCAGGATTTTCGCCGCGGTGGCGCATTAGTACGCTCTGCTGCTGAGCTCATGGGTCTCAATTGACTGAAGAATTGCAAGGCTGGAATAATTCTGGAGACCTGTGTGGACAGTGAAAACCCCAACGTAAGATGGCTGCGGAGGAAACAATCAGTGGGGCGGCGGAGTTCCGCCCGCTACTTTAGCTCAACCAATCATACTTGGCCCAGGAAGTGGACCGCCGCGGTGGACTTTGTATACGCTCACAGCAGGATATCCCAATGTTCGCTCATATAAATAGCTAGAATGTCTTCAACAATTTAAAACGCACTCATCAACATCAACCTACTCTAACAATTCATCAAAATATATCATCTTTGTTGCCAACCTCTCCAGTCACTTTCAGAACAAACTTCATCACCAAACCACCAGCACTCAACATGTCCGTCTTCGTCTGTGGCGCAACCGGCACCCAAGGCGGTGCCATAGCAAAGTACCTCCATGAAAAGGGCATCAAAGTACACACTATCACCCGCACCCCGCTCTCCACAAAGTCACAGTGCCTTCGTGCCCTGGGTGCTGACGTTACCGCGGGTGACTACGACAACGAAGCCTCCCTCCGAGCCAGTCTCGCCAATTGCACTGGTCTTTTCCTGAACATGGTCCCCGACTTCCAAAACCCCGACATCGAAGTTATTCGCGGCCGGCGACTCCTCACTCTCGCCAAAGAAGCTGGCGTCAAGCACGTTGTCTACAGCAGCGCCTTCGCCGTTAACGAACCCCACAAGATCCGCACCTTCACGCCTACTGGCTTCGTCGGGAAGATGCTGCTCCCTAAACAAGCACTGGAAAGCGAAATCCGGACGATGGGCTTTGAGAGATGGACTATTTTGCGTCCTGCGAGCTTTATGACAAACTTCCTAGCGCCGATGGTGTATATGTATTCTGGATTGGTGGATAAGGGATGTTGGGTTACTGCGTGGACGACTGAGACGAAGATCCCGCTGGTGGATCCAATGGATATTGGGAAATTTGGAGCAATGGCGCTGACTGATAAGAAATTTCATGGCAACGAGATTGAAATTGCGGGGGAGTTGTTGACCGTTGAGGAGATAGTGAAGGAGCTCATGAAGGCCACAGGGCGGGATCTCAAGGCTGCTTATTTGACTGAGGAGGAGATTGAAGCCCAGGCTGCTGTTAACCCGCTTATTGAGGCGCAGTTAGCGATGCGAGACATGGCACAGTTTGCGGATTTGGAGAAGACAAAGGAGTGGGATCTCGATCTGGGGACATTTGGGCGGTTTTTGAAGAGAGAGAAGGAGAAGGTTGTGAAGACGTTTTCTATTTAGATGTTGCTTTGGCTTTATGTACCTAACATATATTTCTCGACTCGCTGCAACTCGATGATATAATTCTTATAGTCTTCGAACTTTGTATTGATTGTGAAGGCTCTGCTGATTGAGCTATTAGCCTGTAGCCAATTTCTATGGTTATCACCTAATCACCGTGAGAGGTATGTTCACGAGTTTGTCATCTTTCAACAATGTAGTATTATGGACTGAAGTCCACAGTAACGCAACATTTCCAAGCAGTCAGACACATATTTAATTTCTGACCCATTCAAAGCTTCCCATGTACGGCACGGGACAGATTATCTCCCAAAAATATCATCTTGTCCTTCCGTGACTCAACCTCCCACTGAGATGGTGGCTGTATACCAGAGTCCGCAAATGACTGAACATATCTTGATGCCACAATCACAGCCACCTCATTTCCATCAGTGCAAGCATCATACATCAGTAAACAAGAGCAGACGATGGCCTGCAAATGACCAATTATCTCCCTTCCACGCCATAGCAGCTCCGCCTTGTCAGCCCTATTTGCAATTTGGACGAGACTCTCTAGTCTTTTCGTGACGAATGCACACTCATCCGGGAACTTTCGTTGACAATGTTGCAGTATGTTGTGCACCCACTGCCCGAAGACGTTCTCGATGACTTTACCATCACCGAGCCGTCGGTCCATAATGACTCTCGCCACATCCTCAGCCATCACACTAACCGTACCCTCCCAGATCGGATTGACCAGCGTGTCTCGGAAGATTCTGGCTACGTTGAGAATCCCACCATCCTCGTTGTTTTCGCAGTAGCCGACCCCTCCTAGTCCTTCCATGCATTCTCGGAGTCCCTGGACAGAACCCACGCTGGTCAGGGCCTTTAGAGCCGGCGTGATGAGCCGAAGCAAAGTTGCAGCTTGCTTCTTATCACGCGGGACTACGGCAGCAGCTTTGGTATTACGAACCATTAGGTCCCAATCCTGCTCAACAGTTCCCTGCAGGGCAATGCCGAAGAAGGCCCAGTGCATGGCCGCCGCGTATTTCACCGTCTCAGCCGCCATCCAGCGCACGTGCTGCGAGACGTCCTCAAGAAGTGAGCCTTGGACCTTGCGAACCCGCGTATATGCCCGGCAAATGGCCAGTCCGCGGCCCCATCCTGCCGTCGAACCGGCCGCTGTATAGAGGCGGGTAATATTGAGGATGGTCGCAACCTCTTTAACACCTCTGCCTTCTTCCCCGATCAGCCAGCCCCGCACACCCTTGAGCTCCAACTCCGCTGTGGGCAGTTGCTTGGTGCCAACTTTGTTCTTCAGCCGTTGCATCCGAATGCCATTCAACTCAATCCCGCTCGAAGATGAGGCCGACCGGCCAGCACGCCGCCGCACTGGTGCATAGAACAAACTGAGTCCTTTGGTTGTCTGCGCCAGCATGACCGTCATTTCCGAGTCGGTCGCACTGCTGAACCACTTAAACCCATCAATACGCCATGGTCCAAGCGGCATGCCGTGCGCATCATGATGGGAGGGTTCTTGAAGCAATTCGTCACGGCTCAGTCGACGTGCGATCGTCTCAGTTCCTCGCACGTCGCTGCCACCCTTTCGTTCCGTCATCCACTGTCCACTTGTCCATGCGATTTTGGGATCTCGCGAGATGAGGCGGCGGTATGCCTCACGAAATACTTCGCTACGACCAGGCTGGTCCCCGTCTGGTTCGCCGAGATGAGCTGCAAGCAGCTTTGCTGCCCCGTCCGTCATAGACGCAGGACAGCCTGTCATAGCAGCGCTACCAGACCAAACATGGTTCAGGGCAAATTGATGCACGCGGCGGTTCCAGGTTGTGTTGTCCGTCTCATATGCGACGCTCACGAGGCCTTCTTCTTGACCAATTTCCTTAAGCGCCTTCCAACCAGTTGATGTCCAAAGCGGATCAACTCGATTTTCCTCGCCAAATGTGGTGAGCGGACGGAGAACAGGCGGGTTAGTCTCTGCATCAACACTGTGCTGGAGTACACTAGGCTCAAGGGCACGGCGAGAGAGGTTGTGGATGGAGTGGCCCACGTTGCCGCAGTTGTGGGGAAGGTATAGCTCCAGGATCCGGCCTAAAATTACATCGTCGGATGAGCAGTGGTTTCCTCGGGCGCTTGCAGTAGTAAAGCTATAGCACGGGGGAATAGTGGGAAGGGGTTGAAAGAACCCTTCTGTGGATGATGAGGGCTTGCTGGGAGTGCGTGCTGCCATGTTGTTATGTCTCGATATCTGATTCTCGGGAGAGGAAAACAGCTTGACGGAAGGCGAGAGCTGATATGTGAACTCTCCTCAGCATGCATGTCAGCAGGTCCCCACATCACTCGGCTCCTGAAATGCAGAGACCGAGGTATCTACGGATACGCATATTGGTAGCAGCCATTGGTCGAAAACAGGTTTGATTATAATATCTTCACAACTGAGTTAATCACAAGTTGTGAATGCAGGGTGAAACAAGAAGTCGCAATCTACACAATGATGAAGATAGCAATGAACCGGGAATAAGCCTAAAGCTACAAGGGATGAATGCTGCAGGGGATTGGACTATGCAATCACGCTCTGTGCCAAAGAATCGAGAAATTGGATGGACGGCGATCGGGTGGCACACGCATCACGTGGTATTTACCCCGCATAGTGTAGTCCACGTGATTTACCTGAAACCTTGCGAGAAGCTACAGGAGAGTTCGGCCTGGTACTATGGAGGATTTCTGGAACAGTTTGGTGATAAAATCCGGACTTTGAGGTTATACAAACTGCCGCCTTTGTCGCAGCCTTAGGCAGCCATACAGAGGTAAGTTTCCCATGTAGATGTGATGCCTTAGGCCACTAATATAGGATAGCTTTCCACGATTACTAGACAAGTGTGCCCGTACCGATCATAGCTATCATTAGGAGTATTAACTATAGGTAGTCGCACTATCTGGCTAGTATTTTGCAATCTTCTCTTTCTAGTGTCTCGCCCTAGACTCTTGCGCCATCCCACTCAGCTTTGTACATCACCAGTATACTAACCGTCCCCTTACATTCCTTTATATTCCTGAAGACCTTCTTGCTTTGCTGTCAGTTTATCATTTATTAGCTGTTCATGTGTTGACTGAATTAGAGGTTCGGAAGTTCTCAGACGTAATGATGTTGTAGGGCTGAACCAGCCGTCTTGTATAGAGTCACGGCATAATTGTAGCGTCACGGTATTTCTTAGGAACTTCCCTAGATACTCCTTTCCTATAAATCCCGTCTTGCCACTGCCTCACACCCATTATTTTCATTCTACCAACAGCCTTAATTCCCACAGCAACTATGTCCCCCACTTCCATCAAAACCCGCTTCCTCATCCTCTCCGACACCCATGGCGCAGAGCTACCCGACGCATGCTTCGAGCACTCGGCAGACGTCGTGATACACTGCGGTGACCTCACAAACTCCTCCTATATAACCGAATTTCAAACAACCATCAAACAGCTCCAGCGTCTCAAAGCGCCACTCAAGCTTGTCATCGCTGGAAACCACGACTTCACCCTAGACACGCCAACCTTCGAACAAAAGATCCGCGAAGCAGGTCTCAAAAACGATCCTTCCGTCAAGAAGGTCTACGGATATTACGAAGAAGTCAGAACCCTCTTCAAAAACGAACAAGACAACGGCATTATCTTCCTAGACGAAGGTACACACTCATTAACCTTACCAAATGGAGCATTACTCAACATCTATGCCAGTCCATACACCCCCTCCCTCGGGGACTGGGGGTTTCAGTACCATCCTGAAAGTGGACATGACTTTCAGATTGAGGAGGATGTTGATATCGTGATTACTCATGGTCCTCCTAGGGGGATAATGGATTATACTGAGAACGGAAGAGCTGGGTGTCCGGATTTATTCAAGGCTGTTGCAAGAGCTAGACCGCGGATGCACTGTTTTGGACATATTCATGAAGGATGGGGTGCGATGATTGCACGATGGAGGGATAGGACTGTTGTTGGGAATGAACCTTCTCATTTTACGGCTATCGACTATGGACGGTCGAGTGTTGTCACGAAGCTGTCCAGACTTGATCCTGAAACATCGCCGGCTGTTGTAAAAACAAGTCACTGTACGGATGATGCGATTCCATTGAAACCGGACCATCAGACACTTTTCATTAATGCAGCGTTTGAGGCTAGCAATACGGCAGGTGACGGCCTTGCAATGCACCCGATCTGGCAAGTTGATCTGGAGCTTCCGTGTGCAAAATAGTTAGGTCAGCAGCACATTGATTGTGAAGACGGTATAAAACTTGAATTATCGTGAGAATCTACAAGGGTTAATTTCCAGTGACTTCCCCCGGGCTGTGCTCCCTAGACTAATACCTAAATTACCCCATTATATCCACTCATGTCATATAAAAAGAAAATTCCTTTTCACACCATAAAAAAGCAAGAGGGAGGGTGGAGATGATGATAAAGCATAAGAACACCTGTGTACGCGCATCTAGATATTATTGCTCGCTTAACCTATACCTTCGCAAACCTCTCATGGCAGGCATACAGTAGCGTTAAGATCCTGCAGGTAAGACTATACTCCAGCCTCCGCTCGCATCCGCGCACTATTGATGAAATCGCACCGGTCAAACAGTCTTTCCCATAACACTGCCTTCTCTGCTTCTGTAGATTCTCCCCCATCCGCGTCTTTGCTGACTCTGATCGCCCCGGACCTCATAGGACCCCCGAAAACCTGAATCGACAGCTGATCAGGCGAATCTTTGGAAAGTCCCTGTTCACTGATCTCCGAGAATGCAGCAGGCCATGTGTCACTAGGACTCGCATCATGCGCAAACCCAATCACCTGTTTGCTCACCTCCCGTGCCAACTCCATTTGTTCCGGGGAGTTATCAGCCCCACCCACCAGGTTAGCATTGTTCATGACATAGGGAATATCACTGAGATGAGCAACGCGCCACATCGGTACGCCCATCATCTCGAATACTGGCGCGTATCTGGTCGCATTATGCTCGTAGAGCCATATCTCAGATGTGGTAGTCCATCCTTTCTGAGCGTACTGCCATGCAAAATCGAGAACTGGACAGGTGAACCAGATATCGCGATTCATTTGCGCGGCGCGGTAGTACTGGGGTGATATAGGGCCATCGTAGCTTTCGCGGACCATATGCGCGAAGTCTGTGACCGGATACAAATCTAGAAGTCTTTCTTTTGTGGCAGGGGAGAGCTTTGACAACCATAATCCAAAGCTAGCAAGCACTTCATCGTCGGTGGAAGCTGTTGGCGGGGCATACCAGGCTCCATCGTTGGTCACCCACGAAGCAATGATAGGAATATCTTTGACGAAATTGCCCTCACGTAGGAGCTCAGAGGGTCGGGCGGGCAGAACGTCGCCATCAATGGTCGGATAGAAGAACCCTTCTCCAAATGGGGGGCGAGCTGCACGTGACGCCGTAACGGACAGATTTGTGAGAGTGTCGAAGGGGATACGTCGAAGCCATTCAAGGGTCTCAGAGGATTCGGCGTCGTTGGTGGTAACGCAACCAACCTCACGCGCGATGTGTGCTGTGTTCTCGGCTACCAAAGTGGAGTCACTGTTGAAATTGAGACCCGGGGCGCCAGACATCATGCTTTATATGTTAAATAGCTTGGAAGAAGGCAGATACACATTAGTGAACTTACATGGCTCGCTGAAAGGGGACACCTTTGGTGCCATTGAAAGACGTCAAGTGCAGGCCGATGTCACTGGCCCCGACGCTCTGCCCGATGACAGTTACTATAGATGCATTAGCTGCCCATGCCTGTTTTATGACATGACTCAGTTGTTGTACCTCTATTGGGGTCACCCCCAAATGCATCGATGTTGTTCCGAACCCCTGGTCATTGGGTCAGCAAGGATTCCGTAGTGCTTAAACGAGTCCACGTACATTCCAATGCAGCGCGCTGATCACGCAGTCCGGCATTCGTCTGCTTCTTCTCAATCATGGTCCTACTGGTCGCAAATCCAAAGACTTGGGACTGTCAACAACATCTATATGAGCGCACAGTGTACATGTCTTACATCCTAATCGGTAGTTTATCCCGACATATATCAACGGCTTCCCCGCCGCCACGGCCCCCTGAAGCAGCCCTTCCGGGTTGTAAAGGACGTCAGAAGCAGAACCCAGAGCATGGCCACCTACGCATTCTCAGAATCAGATACAATTCAATAAATAGTGGAGTATGAATATAGTTACCTCCATGCAACCACACCACAACAGGAAGTCTATCCTGTACTTTGACATCGGTCGGGCGAGCAACCCTCAAGCTCAGACAATTCTCGCTGATATTTGACACTCTACTCGTGAAAGGCAGGATATCTCCTGTGCCCTGGGGGCACCACGCTCCAGGCCGGGATGCATCGATCACGGACCCTTTCGACGGGCGGACGGGAACAGGAGGAGCGAAGCGTCGGAGACCAGTTGGCTCCTCCGCATAGAAGATGTTTTGGAAATGTTCTACACCATTTGACAAACTGCCAATATATTCGATGCCATGATGAGTGTCATAAACTCTGGGTGGTGAGACGGGTGTTTTCGGAAAGACGAGTCCGTAGTAACCAGTGATATTTTCAACAAGAACATCAGTAAATGGTGAGAGGTATATGGCGAAAAGTGCTATGGCCACCGTGAATGCGCCTATGACGAAGCCACTTTTAGGAGTGGCCATGGCTAGCTTGGTGAGAAATAGACACTGCGTCACCCAGACCACGATGTAATTTGACGAAGTGGTTGGATGAGGTGTCTTGCCTCTTCGTTGAGGTAATGCATAAGCGGGATGACGTGGGGCTGGCGGAAGTACCTTTAAGTCTGGCAGCTTGTGGTTACGCCCGGCCTAACAGGGATGGTCATCCTGCTGGAGCGCTATATGATAGACTCAACATCGTCCTAGGAGGTTGGTACTAATAACACAATACTAGCAAGCATTTGTAGTTCCTGGTAGTGTCTAATACACTGAAAGAAGTTGTAGTTATTGTGTACTTAGTATATACGATCGCGGATGGCGCGCATATCCGAAATCACAAATATATATCTGCAAAGACCAGGTCACGCTACGTTTCATCTCCAAGGCATCAGGCAGTACGGAATCAAAGGGTAGGTATGTGGCGGAACAAAGCAAACCATATACAAGTAAGCACAAGAGAAGTTCAAGATCGAAAGATAGGGAAGATCTGTCGATAATGCTTGGGGCTCTTTCGGGAATCTGGTTGTTTGCGACGATCGGATTGGGAATTCGGCCCGATTGCCCTATCACGGCGGTGAAGGCTTATTGTGGCAGAGACTGACCGCCCGTTTGACAGAGAATGTTGATTATCGGATAAATATGTACTCCGAATTAGATGTGAATGGGCAGACTTGATAGAGACATCCTGGGGCTTAAAGAATCCTATGAATTCTTTGAGTTTATAGGTGCAGGACCCTTCTGCTTTACTCTGACATCTATACAGTGGAGCGTAGTTTTCCACTCACCCATCAATCGTCATTGCTTTGGTCCAGTCAAATTTGAGATACATTCAATGTCTTCCTCGAGTGTCAAGTAACAAATGCTTGCAGAGAGAGCGTGGAAGCACCAAACAAACGCATAGTCCTTGGGTGAAGGGCGCTACAAATTCCTAGAGGATGCAAAATTGTCAATGGCGACTGTACTAGAAGCAAACATGCTCTATCCGATCCTCGCTGTTCAGTACAGCATCCTCTCCTCCCCTTGTGCTTTACATCGACACTAGTCTCAGACTTGGTTAGATCTGCGATCCATTCGCTAGTGCAGATAAACACTCATGCTAATGGAAACCTATAGCTTACCGCTAACGAGTTCTCCACTTTTCAAGAGGATGATATTGATGATAGAAACACAACATCACGGGACCTGTGAAACGAGACCCCAGCCAAGGAACACGCTTGCAACGTTAACCTCCCACCACATTCTCTTGTTCTACCCAACACGCTCCTGTGTCAAACAAAGCAACTCCCAGAGACTCTCCCGGCCACGGCCCCTCTAGCCATCTCTCAATGCAACAGTCTTTTAGAAAGCTATATGCAGTCTGTCAGACAGCCCCTATCCCGCCGTCACCGGACACGCCAAGGTAGCTTGACTGGAAGATGACTTGCAGGAGAGAAGCTGGTAAGTGGTCGTGACAGTCTGTGCTGCACACCACGGAGAGACATTACCAATGATCATTCGGAGCCTGACGGTCGACCCCGTGATGTTGGACGGATTCCAAATGTCGCAAATGCAGGGGAGGTGCGTCTCACGTCTCTGCATCCATGGGCCCCAGCACTTTGGGCCCCCCATAGTGGACAGCATGACATCGCTTGGCCCTGCATATACCTAGCTTGTTATTCGGACCTCAACCGGGCAGCGCTGATATAGATTCCCCGGACCGGGTGTGGTTTACGACGGATTGTGATTATCTCCTAACCCGCTGGTATCTGAATCATCTCATCAGCCAAAATAAATTTTTGTTATGAGTGTATCAGAAGGCCTTTCAGGCATGTGCTACTCATATGGCGCCTCAGTGGAACCGATACCCTCTGGGGCCTTATGAGTGGCAGAAGGCATTTGTTGCAAAACCTTCGGATATAAGTCCCTTTCGACAATGTCAAGAACTTCTGGACCACTAATATAGCTGCATGCACAGGTTAACCAGAGGTTGTTTTTGTGGCCAAATGCCGTGTAACACTGGGTAACAATATACTCCTTTCAGTCATCCACATATGCCCGCCTCCTACAGTAGGGTTGTAAATATCCCTCACATTCCTTCCATTCGCTGGGGTAGGATCTACCTGATATAGAAGCTGCACAACCCCAGATGCTATCGCGTGAAGATGCCAAGTATTGATGGGTTACATTGGTTGGCGAATAGTCTGTTCACCATCCCCCGCCTGTACAAGGCTCTTTGAGTGACCAATTTCTATGAAGGCTTCTTGCAGTGTAGAGCCGCTATTTAGAACCCGGAAATAGGTCTTCCTATTGTGTATTGTGTCATAAGAGTTAGTACATTGAATCTAACACCCAACAAGCAGAACAGCCCGTAGAGAAGCTAAGGGACAGCTGGTCAAGCTGCCCCAAAACCAAATTTGTCTGTAATCTCATCCCTGCATGCCATCTGTATTCTGTGCATGCATGATGCTTTCCTCACGGGGCATAACCCAGTAGTCCGAAGACGCAATGTGACCATCTGACTGAGTTTTAAATATACTGACCAAGTACCTTCTGACCAGGTCCCCACTTGATGACAATCAACAAAAGGTGAATGTGACTGAAACCGTGGCCTAGACAACAGGACTTAGACTTTGTTGTGAGACTATAAAGGATCTATCCATTGCACTACTGAACTTGAGCATTTAAGTCTAACATTGACAATTCTCCTCTTTCGGCAGCCACTCGCTCAACATGGCTTTCCTCAAACGCATTCTCCCGCTGCTCGCCCTGCTTTTGCCTGCAGTATTCAGTGCCACAGAGCAGGTCCCTCACCCGACCATCCAGACTATCCCGGGAAAGTACATCGTCACTTTCAAGGCCGGCATTGACAACGCGAAAATTGAGTCCCATTCCGCATGGGTAACGGAGCTCCACAGACGCAGCATAGAAGGCCGCAGTACACCCGACGATGACCTTCCCGCCGGCATCGAAAGAACATACAAAATCGCCAATTTTGCTGGGTACGCGGGGTCTTTTGATGAAAGGACTATCGAGGAGATCCGCAAACATGACCATGTTTGAGCCTAACTGTCCGAGGCCGTGAAGCCCAAACTAATCGGCGTACAGGTGGCTTACGTGGAACAAGATCAGGTATGGTACCTCGATACGCTAGTTACCGAAAGACGAGCGCCTTGGGGACTGGGTAGTATCTCGCACCGTGGTGCGTCTAGCACCGATTACATCTATGATGACAGCGCTGGCGAGGGTACCTATGCCTATGTAGTGGATACCGGCATCTTGGCTACACACAATGAGTTTGGTGGTCGTGCTAGCCTAGCATACAATGCTGCAGGGGGTGAACACGTTGATGGTGTTGGACACGGCACACATGTAGCAGGTACCATTGGCGGCAAAACATACGGTGTTTCGAAAAACGCTCACCTACTATCCGTGAAGGTGTTTGTGGGTGAATCAAGCTCGACATCGGTCATTCTGGATGGCTTCAATTGGGCAGCCAATGATATTGTGAGCAAGAATCGGACCAGCAAGGCAGCGATCAATATGAGTCTTGGTAATGTGGACCTCCCTGGTGGCTGAATGTTGCTAACTATGAAGTAGGTGGAGGATACTCCTATGCTTTCAACAATGCAGTTGAGAATGCTTTTGACGAGGGTGTACTCTCTTGTGTTGCCGCTGGAAATGAGAATGTACGCTCTGTTAGACTGTCCAACATTCGGGAATGTTTCACTGATGCCTTGCAGAGAGATGCAGCACGGACTAGTCCAGCTTCTGCACCCAACGCTGTCACTGTTGCCGCTATTAGCAGAAGCAATGCCCGTGCGTCATTTTCAAACTATGGATCCGTAGTTGACATCTTTGCTCCGGGAGAGCAAGTCCTTTCTGCGTGGATTGGTTCCAACTCGGCTACCAACACCATCTCCGGTACGTCCATGGCCACGCCTCATGTGACAGGTTTGGTCATTTATTTGATGGGCTTGCGGAACCTGGCTACCCCGGCGGCCGCAACAGCTGAGCTCAAGAGACTGGCTACGCGGAATGCTGTCACCAATGTTGCCGGTAGCCCCAATCTACTGGCCTACAACGGAAACAGCGGCGTGTCAAATGGAGGTGATGATGATGGAGAGGAGGACTAGGTTCGTGATACGAGCAGACATGGTTTAGAATAGTGGGTCGGGAAGTAGACTAGTTTATATGCGAAATAACATATGCCTGGAAAATCCTAGCTCATTCTTGTAATATCCGCAGTTCGACTTCTTGCCGAAACCACAAAAAGGTCGTGCATGAGGCTTTACCCAGCCGACCTCCCGGTTCTGGACCAAGCTCATCGATTGGATGCGTGAAAGTTTGGCACATGCGAATAACCGCTGCCCTTTACCTCCCGACGTGGTACCGGACCGAAGGCAGACACAGACCACGGAGTGCTATACCGCACAGACAACCTGTGCTTCCAACTAAGAAAAGCAATTTCACAGACCGCTGCAGCATCATGAGTATGATAGGCTTCTACCCATTGATCATCACTGGCGACACCCCGACTGAATCTAGATCAAGGAGATCAACCGCTTCCCCGGACAGATCAGGCCTAACCCCATAATGAGCCGGTGACTGTGTAACCCTGTCACAATTCGTTTGTTATTAGTTTTCTTTGTTTGCTAGATAATGTGTACTACTCTATAGCTTGTGCTCCAAGGAGCTAATATTGAAGACAGACTTTTGTATATAGCTGCACCCCAAGTCCGGCCGTATAGGGATCAGTATGCTCTTGGTCTTTCCAGGTCTTCACAATGAAAACCGTCTCCCGTGTTATCACAGCACCCGTGGAGAGCGAAAAGGAAACGCTTCTGGCGCTGCTGCCCCAGTATGGCCTCAAGCTTGCCCCGGACGGGGTCCATATACAGTGGGCTCTGGGAAATTGTCGACACCCGCGAAACTGGAGCTTGCGACGCAAGGTATATGATACTACGCTTATTATATTTCTGGAATTCTTCACGTATGAAGCCCCCTGGTTTTGATCTTGTCGAGGTTAATTATTCCAGAACTGCTATCAGCACCGCCGGCGTGGGTAATCAAGCTTTTATGAATGATGTACATATGCTGAACCTATAGTCAACTGCGGCAAACGATGCTGTGCACGACTTCAAGATTTCAAGAACCCTGTCAACTTTTCTCTTCGTATCCATGTTAGTACTCACATGCTTCCTCCAGTACAACCAGGTTGACTTCTCAGATATCTTATCGGCCAAGCCATCGGGGGTGTCGTATTTCCCCCATACTCTGAAGTATTTGGTCGAAAAAAGCTCTATGTGGCAAGCTCAGCCCTCTACGGCCTATCATGCATCTTGATTGCATCAGTGCCATCATTGATAGGAGTAGCGATTGGACGATGTCTCTGCGGCTTTCTCTCTGCCATTCCCACGACTGTTGTAGTGGGTAGTATCGAAGACACCTTCAACTCCCGCGAGCGAGTCTGGGTCATCTGCATTTGGACCATGTTTGCCAACCTGGGCCTCGTTGTAGGTCCCATTCTCAGTACCTTTGTCGTGGCCTACACCCACTGGTACACACCCACCTTTACCCAGTATATGCCAATACTGTGACTAACACCCCATCAGGAGATGGCTATTCTACATCGCAGCCATGGTAACCGGAATCTTGACCCTGCTACTACTCACTTTGAATGAATCGCGCCCCTCTCTCCTTCTCGCCCGTGAAGTCGCTACTCTCCGCAAAGTCACCAAAATCGACACCCTGGAAGGCCTCAACCCCGACAAAGCTCCCGACATGCGCAGCTTCGTCCGCATCGCGCTCTTCCGCCCTATCCGGCTCCTCTTCACCGAACTTATCGTCTTCACTGTCTCCATCATCAGCGCCGTCGCCATCGCCCTAGTCTACCTCTTCACAGAAGCCCTACCGCCCATCTACGAATCCTTCGGCTTCACCCCAAAACAAGCATGTCTCCCCTTCATCGCCATTGGCTTAGGCCTCACCCTCGGCCTCCTCACCCGCTGTCTCGACCTCCGCATCATTGCCCACCACCGAGCTCAAGGCCAACCACTGCTGCCAGAAGACAAACTGACGGGATTCTGGATCGGTGCACCCATTCTCGCTGCAGCATTATGGCTTTTCGCCTGGACCATTCCTCCCGCTGTCACGAATCTCCCCTGGCTTGTGTCGGTCGCGGCTCTTGTGCTGGCTGGATATAGTCTTAATGAGATGGACTATGTGCTCGGCGGGTATCTGACGGATAGTTATCTCAGCTATGCGGCGAGTGGTCTGGCGGCACTAAGTCTGGTGAGGGCGTTGTTGTCTGCTGCATTACCGCTGATCTCGGCGCCTATGTTGGATCGGCTCGGGGCCAATTTTAGTGTTTCGGTGTTGGCGGCGGTCGCGACGGTGTTTTGTATTGTGCCGCCGTTGTTTTCAAGGTATGGGAGGGGGATTAGAGCTAGAAGTGCGTTTGCGAGGTTTAGTTTGACTGTGTATCGTGAGTATAGTGTTGATGAGGAGGGATATTAGAGTCACAAGGGGTGTGCGATATGAATGAGCGGTGATGGAGTGAGGGGGCAAAAGTCGTGCTTGATTGATAAAGATTGACAATTTTACGCTTTCATCAGTATTGCTATTTGCTATTTGTAAGTAGATTATGCTGGGATACATATTTGTCTGTCACCTGGCTGGACAGATGCGTTATATTGTTTTTAGTCTAGCGGTTAGTGCGTCGACAGAGCATATATTGAGTTAGGGCCAAGTTCACGAGGTGGATATAGCATCGTAAATGAGACGACAGGATGCACGGATGGCTGGAAGGGAAAGAACAATTGTGGCAATTATTCCCAAATTGACTGTCAGTGAGCAAAACTTCGTTATCCTGCATGTTTTCCAGAGAGGACAGTTTTCATTCCAGTTTCAACTTCACTGTAGCGATAGAATGAATGGAAAAGGGGTCTTTTAGATCCACCATCCAAGGTACCCCGGGTACACAACTACCCATCTAGGAATTTAGATATCCGAATCTAAACTCGGCTTCAATCCCGGCGTTAGCTATTCATCCTTCCGTCTATTCTTATCCAGATGCCAGAACCGTGGCTCGGATTTCACGAATCAGAAACTGAAAATTAGTCCGGTCTAACCTCCATCTCGGATCCTCTCAGTCAGGCGCCGCAAATCAAGACTTTCCTTATTTAGACTTGGCAATACTAAGCACTAACATGCTCTTAACGCTAAACCCTTTTCTGATCCAGCTCAGACAATCTGATTGGCCAGCTCGCTAATGACATCATAGGGCTAGAGGCTAGACTGTATCTGGAGTAGTTCGACGTTCTGGCCCCAGAAGAATGTTTGGAGATACTTTAGTAGAGACTGTGATGTTTGATGTGGTAGAGATATAAATACTTTTGGGTTAGGGGGGAGATGATGAACCAAAAAAAAAAGCAGTCAAAAGTTCAGTCCTTCTTTTTCTACGTTTTTGCCGCTCTCTATATTCAGAATTGCATTCTGCCGCTCTTTATATCACACAATACTATCTTTTTTTGCGTTTGCCTTTTATAATAACTACCGGCGTGCTTTCATTTCTATCTCTCAGTTGAGACAATCCACTCATTAGTCGACGCACTCAGCCCAACTTACAACCAAAGTAAGATAGACCAAACCTATATTCACACATGATCTAACTGTTTCTCACTGCAGCACCACCACCGACACTCCTTTACTGTACCGAAGTATCACGCAACAAAAACCAAAATCAATTATCGATCATGGCATACATTGGCGACGCAGCGGTCATCTTCTTTGTCATTCTCGGCTGTGTAATGCTGACTCTATCCGGCTACTCTACACACTACCTTATGACCAATGGGTTTTACGGCTTAGAGCGGGACTTTGATCCCACCGCAGAGCAGAGAGTGTATATGCGGCAGCTGCGACTGAGGGATCTGCATTGGATGGCAAGGGATAATAGGGTCAAAACCGAGGATAGTCAGTCGGCTGTTTGAGGGATATCATTTATATCATCATTGGAGTTATTGGAGACTGGTCTGTGATTTGGAGCATGGGATGGCGTTGAGGGTCGTTTTTGAAATTATCTGTGTGATAGGACTCCTTCAGGTTCTCCGTCGTCCATACCTGGTCTTTTTCTATGTACATATATCCGTTTAGAGTGCATAACATACCATAGAAGCTCAAAGCATACAAGACCAAGACAATAATGATTTCCTCATACGTATTAGCGAGCAATCTCAACCATCAGGCTACCGATCTATCAGCCTCAATACCCACATAACCTCGGCTCAAATCAGCTCTGAAGCCACATAATGCACATTATGCATCATGGCCTTCTCCTGCGCGTAGACAAACGGACTGTCAGTCGATAACCCAAGATGAGCCCCCTGACTCTCCTCATCAACCCTCTCCATAGTCTCTAGCCGCGCAGCAAGATTTGTCCTCGCCTTTTCAGTACCATACCCATTTGCAATCCCAAAGTCCAAAACTTTACGAAGCCCCCCCAATCGATTTCTAAACACCACGATTAGCCGTCCATCACCCAGACGCAATCCAGCATTAACCTCTTCCATACATTCTGCTACAAACCCCTCCTCCACACGAAAGATGTCCTCATTTCTTTTCTCATACTCCTTATGACTCTCATACCTCCCCGATGAAATGCATGGTTCACATCTAACCTCAGAACCACATCAAAGGCCACCCCACCCAACAAACTAAACCATCCCCGGTGTAACAGATTAGGTTCCCTCCAAGAACTGAGAATCACCATCCCAGCTACTTTCAACTTGGTATGCATGCAAAGAAACCCCCGCATCAAGACACCGTCGCATGACTGCCCAATCAGTACATAAGGTGGCTCGTTCTCTGCTATCTCTAGTAACCGGGTCAGGTAATACACGCGGTTCTGGGCTGTGGGCTCGCACACATCGCTTAGGCCGCATCCAGCGCGGTTGTAGGTATATACACGGGCGTGTTTGGCGATGAGGCGTTGCACTACGATCCATTCGCTGTGGCTGCTGCCTAGGCCGGCTTCAATGACTACGGCGGGTTGGAGGGTGCTGTTGATTGTTTGTTGTGCGGGGCGAGAGGTACATGCAAACGCCATCTATGGTGATGTGACCGAAGTGGTTGC